AAGGATTTGGGAGTAGCTGATGTTATCTTAAACATTAAGCTAATTAGAGGTGAAAATGAGATTACACTCTTGCAGTCCCATTATGTGGAGAAGATCTTGAATCGCTTTGGCTACATTGATAGTAAGCCTTCTCCAACACCTTATGATCCTAACTTGTTGCTTCGCAAGAACAAAAGAATTGCTAGGAATCAACTAGAATACTCCCAAATCATTGGCTCGCTGATGTACCTGGCTAATGCAACTAAGCCTGATATCTCCTTTGCTGTGAGCAAGTTGAGCCGATTTACCTCTAATCCGGGAGATGATCACTGGCGTGCGCTTGAGCGAGTAATGCGCTATCTGAAAGGTACTATGAAATTGGGGCTTCACTATACTGGGTATCCTGCGGTACTGGAGGGTTATAGTGATTCTAACTAGATCTCTGATGTGGATGAGATCAAAGCCACTAGTGGATATGTCTTCACACTGGGTGGTGGTGCTGTTTTGTGGAGGTCTTGCAAATAAACCATTTTGACGAGGTCAACCATGGAAGCAAAATTGACGGCACTGGATACTGCTACTGTTGAGGCAGAATGGCTGCATGATCTATTAATGGATCTGCCTATTGTTGAAAACCGGTGTCGGCTATCCTTATGAACTGTGACAATCAAACGGTAATTGTCAAAGTGAATAGTTCTAAGGATAATATGAAATCGTTTAGACATGTGAAAAGACGATTGAAGTCTGTCAGGAAATTGAGAAACTCCGGAGTTATAACGTTGGATTACATCCAAATAGCTAGAAACCTGGCAGATCCCTTCACGAAGGGATTATCACGAAATGTGATAGATAATGCATCGAAGGAGATGGGTTTGAGACCCGTGTGAGTTATACTATGGTGGTAACTCAGTCTATGTGATCGGAGATCCCGTGAATTAGAACCTGTGAAGAACAAACCATTAGTAAACTAGAGGAGAGTACCAATCTATACCCTCCCTAAGTGAAGATGCATGTACTCTCGTGAGCTGCAAGGCAGGTTGGCTATGCCTTAATGAGTTCTGTTGGCTTTAATTAGCGAAGACGCTGTCCTGCAGAGCATTCTTGAAAGAACTCACCTTTGTAAGCTTGACCGTTGGTCGCAGTCTATGGAGATTTTGGGTGAATCTTCTAGGAAGCTTACTAAAGACCTAGGAGTATAACTTATACGCTCCACCCGAGGGGTAGTCTACAGACGGTCTAATACCAGATAAGACTCTGAGTGAAACTTGCTTGCACAAGACTTGCAATCCAAGCCGTAGTCCATTGTTCAAGTTGTGAGTAAGTGTAGCTTGGAGTTCTAGATAGATGTTCAACCTTAATCGGTCTCTATCGAGCCGTTGGTATATAAACAGTACATTGGAAAAGGCAAATCTCAGTGGGATTTTGAGATTTGGTAGGGGATTGTTGGAATTAATAGATGGGCTAAGGCCCATTTGAAGATTAATTCTTTGGAAAATCACAAAAGCCCACCTCATGGGATGGTATGCATGTGGAGTTTAGTACCACATTGCTTATTCTAGGAGAGGGGGACCTCCTTAAAAGGGAGGATGCTCTCCTAGCCACTTGAAGCATGTGTGGTGAAGAGAAGAGGGGAAACACGCGCGCGCGCTCGCCTCGCCTCGCCTGGCAGGGCAGGCGGCGCGCGTGCACGACGTACGCGTCGAATGGTCTACAAAATTGGCTCCTCACCCTTGCGCAGATGCAGCCTCCTTTTGCAGTTTTGTTTTGCTGCGGGAAATTCGGATTTGTTTTGTTTTGGAAACATTCCGAAAAATCCGGTACATGAAAACGGCATGGAGTCTTTTGCAGTTTTGTTTTGCTGCGGGAAATTCGGATTTGTTTTGTTTTGGAAACATTCCGAAAAATCCGGTACGTGAAAACGGCATGGAGTCCGGATAGGTTACGCGCGACTTATCCGGTTCGGTTTACGCGGGCGCCCTGATCAGGCGATCTATCTCTATATAAACCGAGCCGCCGTCTTCACGCAACACACGCGAAATCAATCTAGGGTTTGCCTCCTACTCTGTACTGCGCCGTCACTCGTAGACTACTCCATCCCGCTCGCCGGCGTGCACCGGCGATCGGGAGAGCAGGTCTCCGGAACCTCTGCCTTCGACGTCCTGCACCGGGAGAAGGCGGCAATAAGGTTCTTGGGAAGCGCTTCGCGCGACAGCTCTCTGTTCGTCCGCGACGGCTCGCCTTCCTCTCCGCTCGCGTGCTTCGCGCCTTCGTCGACGCTCGCAACCGCGAGTAGTTCCTGCCGAGCAACCGGTCTTTCCGCCACCTCGGTACGTGTTCGACATTTTGCGCATATTTGATCTGTTCATATTTTACTGCTTAGTTTACATGTGTAGATCTAATGATGCGTTCAATCTAGTTTACATATATAATGTCATGATTTATTTATGGAATAACTTAAATCATTACGTGCTTATAATTTCAACATAGGGACGATGTATTTCCCGTCGGTGAATTTCCCATTGCCCCATCTCTAAGAGTGAGCCTCTATAAGTGGTATTAGATGAGTTGGCGCGGCGGCACACCGTGCGACAACTGCGCTCGCATCCAGGATCCTGGTTAATTTTTCTTACCGTCAGCTTGTTAACCACGTTTTTTACGCTGTATTCATTTAGCCTATGTATACAAGTTTTTCGAGTTCGACTGTTCGATCGAGGAGCCCCAGTGTGGTTGTTGTGCTTGGTGTTTGATTCCACAAAATGCTATTCCATTCCATGTTTGAATCGCAGGGCGACATGCCAATCGCACCGTATCATCTCGGAGGTCTTCCCATGAAATCTGACAAGCTGACCAAGGCGCAGAAGGCTGATGATGAGAAAGCACAACGATCGAGCCTTCTGGCAGCTCAACCTGGATGCGCTCAAGATAAAGAAGCAGCCGCAAGAGGAGATGGGGGCAGAAGCTGAAAGATCAACTCGATGAGCTCGAGGCTAACGCTGAGCAGAACAAGACAGATCTTGGGGCTGGTTAATTACGCTTCGGACTACAGGATGATATACTGATGAAACAGTGGTTCGACTTTGAGGTAAAGGTTTAATTAGGAGTAGTCAAGTACATCTGAGCTCGTAATGAGCAGACTGTTACAGTAGTAGATATCTGAGTTTGGGTAGTTCATAGTCCTTCGGATTCAACTCATCTCACGGAGTCACGGTACACGTATTTGTATAGATTCACAATTTCCAATGTGATTGAAAAAAAAAGACCAATATAGGAAGGACTATATTGATTTTAAATTAAGGAGGGGGTGAGTCTTGAACCCGGACCAGCTAGCTCGCAGCTTGCATTGCTAGCTAGAAAGATCCCGGGCCTTTCCCAACTTTAAAATAATACAGCAGGTAAACTTTGTGAAATTCCTTGTGATACAGTAGGAGTATTTGCACACAACATTGGACAGGAGAAAACCCACACAGGAAGAATAACCAAGGCATTTGCAGAGTTTATCATAATTTCATAAAGGTGGAGCAGGTGCCTGTTTGAATTCATTTGTAACAAAAAAAAAAGAAATCGCCACCAATGTTGGTCTAGCTGTAGCATTCAAATTTCACCAGATTATTGTTATGTTATCCTCTCTATTGTTTTCTCTTAATTCAAAATTTTCTCGAATTTAATTAAGTGACACTAGTTAACATGTCCAACACTCCAACCACCACTATTCTAGACAGGAATTCTTTTCATCCTCACATATCATCAGGTAAAAATGGGACCTGCAGTGATCTTAAAAACTCTTCAATGAAGAAAATACAGAGGGACCCGTCCTTCTTGTCTAGCTGGTTGCAACCAAGAACTCGAACATTGTGTGATTAGCATAATCCATGTAGCTAGTGACTGTCAAGTGTCAACTGGCAGTAAGGGGAAAAACTTCCAAAAGAGAACTATCGGACGTGAACCTGAGGAGTAAAAAACAAAGGTAACACAAGCAGCCAAAGCTCATAAAAATTTGTCAAAAATTTTGTGGCATCCCTAGACTTAGGGCCTGTTTGAGGAAGCTTTAGATTCTGAGAAGCAGCTGTTTGATAGCCAGCTTCTGAGAATCTGAAAAGCTTTAAAACCCAGCTTCTCCAGCTTTGGCTTCTTAGTTCATTTTTAAGAACAAAAGTTGTGGACTGTTTGGGGCAGTTTCTAGCAGAAGCAGCTTTTGGGAAAAGCTGCAGCTGGGACAAACTCCCACAAACAGGGCCTTAATTTCATCAAACACTTGAGAACATGGCCTTTTGGAGGAGGCGAAGCTGCAGCTCTACGGAGGATGACCACATCGGTGGCGATAACATATACTACCTCCGTTTCATACTATAAATTGTTTGACATTTTATCTAGTAAAGCTTTGCTAAGTTTGATCAAGTTTATATAAAAAAGTTAACAATATCTAAAATATGAAACACTAAATTTAAATATAGTTTCATAATATGTTTGAATTGCATTGAAAATACTACTATATTTTTATATAAATTTGATCAAATTTAAAGAAATTTGATTAGAAAAAAAAAGTTAAACGACTTATAATATGAATTGGAGGGAGTAATAGATAGATACTCCAGATTATACTCCCTCCATCTCTAAATATTTGACGCCGTTGATTTTTTTAAACATGTTTGCCCGTTCGTCTTATTCAAAAACTTTTGTGAAATATGTAAAACTATATGTATACATAAAAGTAAATTTAACAACGAATCAAATGATAGGAAAATAATTAATAATTACTTAAATTTTTTGAATAAGACGAACGGTCAAATATATTTTAAAAAGTCAACGGCGTCAAATATTTAAGGAACGGAGGGAGTATTAGATTAGAGTTAGATTATTTGGTGCTTCTTTTTTGGAAAAGTTTTGGCTTTTCCTTACCTTATGCAACGTGCTGAAATTCAGATAAAGCAGGTTCTAGGCTAATTTCTGATTTTTCGTATCATATTAGGATTTAGGTACTCCGTGTGTCAACGAGAGCCCGTTAAAACGCCCCCCCCCCCCCCCCCTGTGGCACCGCGACCACTCCGGCGAGCACGTCAGCACGGCGCAACTCCGCCGTCCCCGTCGAAGGCGCACAGCCTCCCTCGCCGCCGCCGGCGGCGGCAGGGGACCTCCCGCCTCCTCCCCAAGAGACCCAAGGTAAACCTTTCGCATCTGCTTGTACCATGATTCTTGATTCCTAAGTTGAATAGGTTCTACTATTAGATTGGATTAGCTGCAGTTAATTAATTAAATTAGATAATAAGATCAAGATTTGGCTTGATTGGAATCTAGAGAAGTAAGTGCTCTGTAATTTGTTTCACAGTTAGGACCCTCTGAAGTCTGAACTATGTCAGCTAGCTACATCAAATCTTCTGAGTCCTCATTTGAATTCAGACGCTATACACACATTGTCCTATATAAACTTAAGCCCTGTTTAGATCCAGGGGTGAAAAGTTTTTACGTGTCATATCGGATATACGGACACACATTTGAAGTATTAAATGTAGACTAATAACAAAACAAATTAAAGATTCCGCCTATAAACTACGGGACAAATTTATTAAGCCTAATTAATCTGTCATTAGCAAATGTTTACTGTAGCACCACATTATCAAATCATGTACTACCTCCGTTTTTTAATAGATGACGCCGTTGACTTTTTCTCACATGTTTGATCATTCGTCTTATTCAAAAATTTTATGCTAATGTATAAGATATAAATCACAATTAAAGTACTATAAGTGATAAAACAACCCATAACAAAATAAATTATAATTACGTAAATTTTTTGAATAAGACGAATGGTCAAACAAGTGAGAAAAAGTCAATGGCGTCATCTATTAAAAAACGGAGGGAATAGCAATTAGGCTTAAAAGATTCTTCTCGCAATTTACACGCAATTTGTGTAAATTAGTTATTTTTTCGTTTATATTTAATACTCCATGTATGTGTCCAAACATTCGATGTGATAGGGTGAAAAATTTTGCTAGGGGATCTAAACAGGGCCTTGGTAAAAGGGATACAAGTTACAACCGATTCGATATGACTATTTTGCTTGGTGTCCTACTGGAAATGAGCTTCGGTTTTAACTTTTAAGTTGCTCCAAACCCCACGCAGCCAAAAAAAAAAAAAGGTTAAAGTCATGGCGCGCTTCATTTAAAAAAAATAATGATAAGCTAATTATAGAAGTGGCATGACAAGGAGAAAAAAAAATACTGCTCTTATGCAGTTATGCTTGTATCCATGTTATGTGATTATTCTGTTCCTTTACTGTAGCTAAAATGGAAAAGAGAAAGAGGATAGCCTCAAAAGAAGACCTGCATGGACAAATGATGAAGAGGAAGAAATGGAGACTTCAGTTGAGCAACCTACCCGAGGTATGAAATATCGATCTCGAATTTAGCATCTTGGTCCTCCTCACAAGATGATGTTGTATTTGTTCGCTGTTCGGCCTAATCTTTCAGTCGACCCGGCAAAAAGATATTTAGTATCTTGGTCCTCACAAGATGATGTTGTATTTGTTCGGCCTAATCTTTCAGCCGACCCGGCAAAAAGATGATGCAAAATGCCTTTAGTAGAAGAACCTCTCCGTATCTCTATTCGCTAATCTGTATATTTAATCTATTTGTATTTACTGCAGGATATTCTCTGCACTATCGTGTCAAAATTACCGTTAAGAGAAGCTGCTAGAACGAGCATATTATCTAGCCAATGGAACCGCACTTGGTGCAGCCACACAAACCTAAACCTTAGTTATCGATCAATAATGTCAAGGCGCTACATCGAAAGAGACATAAGACCTGAAGGCAGGAAGCTAAATGCTGAAGAGTTTATCAGGAGGGTGGACGCAATCTTGCAGCAGCACAACGGTGGAGGCGTTGAGAAAATCGAAGTTATAGGACTTTTAGAAAATGAAAATGCGTATCACATCAATGGATGGGTGAACTTCGCCATCAAATCGAAGACAAAGCAACTTGTTCTTGATTTCAGATCTTTCCACTGGCCCATAGATGAGCCATATAACTTTGCATTTCAGATTTTTGATGCTGCTAACATGGAAAATTTGCAGTCTTTGAAACTTGGTTCCATTTCTCTGAAGCCACCTGCAGATTTTAAGGGTTTTCAGAACCTTAAAAGGCTTAAGCTACTAGATGTGGGCATTACTGATGAAGATCTACAACTTTTGTTGTCCAATTGCAACTGTTTGGAGTTTCTTGGAATATATTGCTGTAAATTGATTACAAGCTTACGGACTACTCATCTTTCAACCCAGCTTAAGCATTTGTATGTCTATGAATGCCCATGTCTCAAAGAGATAGAGTTAAACTCTGGCCTGACAACACTCGAGTACATTGGTCCATTGATACCTTTAGCACCTCCTGGAATTTATGTGCTTACAAATTTACGCATAAAGTCATTGGACATTTCTGATTCTCTTCAGTATATTTTCACCGAACTTCCCAGCACTCTTCCACGTCTCGAGATGCTGACTTTGCAATGTCGTGAACTTGAGGTTGCAGACACATCACTTCTTTATATTCCCAATTTACTTGTAGACTTCCATCTTACAGGTTAACTCAAGTTACACTATTTTTGTTCATTGTTATTTGTGTGCATGTTTCAGAGGATTACTTTGCCAGACAAACCAATCAAATTTATTTATCTAAAACATCTGAGATTGGAATTGGCATTTTCTGGCCCAAGGAAATGGGATGCTGACATTCTAGATTTTGCCTGCATCTTGGAGGCTGCTCCCTTGATGGAAAAGCTTGAATTTCATGTAAGTTTCAAGTCTTAAATTATGTATTTTGCCGACAAATTGTCAGTGAACTTATAAATGCTTTTCATTAGTTGTCATTAAGGATGCTGAAATGAACAGCTCCATTGAATTATGAATTACCTTTACATATACTGATTATTGAGCAATTGGCAATGCATCTAATTTGATCCTGATATTGGCCTGACCATCATATAATCATATATCATGCTCGTGTGTTTAATTTATAACATGCTGCTCTTACAAGGTCTATTTTTTTTGGTCTGTATTTATAGATGTGGATGAATTGTCGTGATCACCTCCGGTATCGCAAAGCTCATGGTAAACTAAGAACTCTTCCTCCATGCCCCCACTACCATCTCAAGGAGGTCAATATCGCAGGATTTTACGGTCAGAAAGACCAGCTGGAGTTGGCACATCATATTCTCAGGAACTCTGTCGTGCTCCAAGCCATGAACATAGATCCGAGGCCTATAGCAGCCTGTGATCCTTCGAGAATGGCAATTCTTGAGGCGTTCAACTTTGTGGATGGATCTAAAGTTGCCATGAAATATCTCTGCAAGGCAGACCACCGTAACGTCGTTCATGTTTCAGATGTGTCACGTAAGGATGTCGAAAATGTACCAGCTTACCGGCTGGTATCTCCATTTTGGATTGAGTTTGATAAGACCAAACGTTCCGGCTTGTTAATTAGGTGATCTTGACATCTGGGATTAAAGCTCCATTGAGGCGAAATGGTTCGTTTTGAGTTTGTTTCACTTTGACGTTGAAATGGACCTTGAAGGAAGCTTGCGGTGGAAGAATACACATAATTTCCAGTTTATTGAGATTTTTTCATGTGTAAATTAATTGTGTAGAAAAAATTGCGGTTTATCATTGGAGGAGTAACTATCTTTGTTGTCCAGAATGTTATGTTATTTCAAATCTCCGTGCAACTGCATATCTTTTTAAAAAACAAATCCAAACTAAGAGCATACCCATATACCCAATATAGCTCCCAATGCAAATATTTTGAGCCTCCAAGTAAAAATTAGGCTCCAACAATTTCTCTAAACAGGTGCCTAAAATTGGATCCCCCAACTCCGGGTAAATCACTTCACAAGGTAGCGCTCCCAATCTGCCGTCCCAAATATTGTTTGATTCAATTTGGAAGTTGTTGATTGATGAACAATTGTATTTTCCTGAAATATTGAACTCCCAGATATCAGAATTGAGCAGAATAACAATGGCTATCTGTGACATGTTTGCACCCTCCTTCCAGTAAACATGAAGAATTGAAAAGTTTGTTTTCTCTTTCGAGTTGTTTATTCTCTACAAGTTCTTGAAGTTAATGCCAGTTGTGCAGCTTGAACAGTTGAACATGTATGTAGATATTGGCTCTTCTGTACACTTCAATTTTCTGTAGATATTGTCTGGGGTTTTATCATATCGTTCAAATTTGCAGTGAAAAATTTTCTGTAGATATTGTCTGGGGGTTTTATCATATCGTTCAAATTTGCAGTGAAAGTAGGAACAAATGCATTGTGACTTAGATAAAATAAGAGACAATTACATTGGTACTAGATAAACTGAAGGACTATTGCCTTTGGATTTGATATAGTGGAGGGTATTCTAGTCCTTTAGTTTGTTTATTGGTATATATGGGACGGAAAAGCTAATTCTCACGCGCGCCGCCGCGGCGCGTGTTTTAGGCCCACGGCCGCATACGCATTTCTGGACCACCAGCTATAGGCGATTCCTATTCCGTCCGATGAGCCAACAAGCTGCCACGTGCATGCGTTTACAACGGGATTTGAAAAGATCATGATTTTTTTGGGGGGAATGCCATTCGGCTAGCTTTATTGATAGGATAGATCATGATTAGTTTAATTAAGTAGTAGTTACTAAATTAAGATAACCTTTCCTTTTTTATTGGCGGGAGATTTTTCTTTTTTCTTTAATAAAAAAATTGAAAATCTATACAAAATTTTCTTAACTTTCAAATTAAATATAAAACTTCCTAAAAAAAATTAAAATTCATTAAAAATGTAAAACTTTCAACTCGAAATTTGAAAAAAATTCAAGTCAAATTTGAAAACTTTCAACTTAAAATTTGAAATTTTCAATTTGAATATTGGAAACTTCCAAGTCATAATTCGAAAACTTTCAACCAAAATTCAAAAACCTTCAACTTAAAATTCAAAAACTTTCAACCCAAAAATTAAAACTTTTAATTTGAATTTTTGAAATTTCAAGTTGAAATTTCAAAAATTTCAATCTGAATCTTAAAACAAATGTACCTAAATTTTTGAAAATTTTCAACTCAATTGTTTATTTATTATTTCATTATAAAGGACTACTTAATTCTAATTGTTACTCCTTGTTAGCGCTAACATTAGCTCTACGGCACTAGGCTGTGCGGTTGCCAGCCTGCCACGCGTGTATGAGCCGAAAAGTTACGGAGTCGAACTAGGCTAGGAATACAACAAAAGAAAAAAGTGCGCTCGACCTACCCTTCTTGCGCGTCTGCGCGAGGTAGGCATCCCCTATATGGGATGGATGAAAAAATTGAGTTATTTTGTGAAGGCGGTGGTATAAGCAAAGAAAGAAGGTTGAGAGCTAATGTTGTTTTCACCTCTGTACTGTTTGAAAATTTTAAATTTGTATTTGAATTGTTGTGTTTGAAATTGTGAATTTGGATTCAATTGAAATGTATGTATTAGAAATATTCATATTTGAAATGTTATGTGGTGTTAAACTAGCCATAGACATACAATGCATGTTAAAATATAAGAGAAAAACGAATAGGGCTAAGAGATACTCCCTCCGTCCCAAAAAAACCCAATGTGTTCAGGTTCAAATTCAGAATTGGGTTTTTTTTTTTTGATGGAGGGAGTAGTGGTTATTGCTGAAGTCAGAGATACCTTTAAGAGAAAAAGAAAAGAAAAGATATATGTGTGTTTTGTGTGTTTGACAAAAAATGAAAAAAAAGAAAAGAAAAGATATGTGTGTGTTTGACAAAAAATGAAAAAAAATTACAAAAATGCGTTTGCCGGGAGTCGAACCCGGGTCTATTGCTTGGAAGGCAATTATCCTAACCGTTGGACTACAAACGCCTTTTATTCAAAAGTCATACTACTAATTTCTAGTGCTTGTTTTGAAGGAGGGCACGTGGTCCAACGATGCCGTGCCACCCTCCACCACAAGACGACGTCCACGGCCACGCAGATGGATCACGTGCCCACCCACCCACGCGCGCCCCCATACATACCTCTCATCATCACTCGCGAACTCTCGCCTCGCTCTCGCCCCCACTTCCTCCGCCGCCATGGCCACCGCCGCCGCCGCGCTCCTCCGCCTCTCCCGCTCCCGCCGCCCGCTCCTCCCCCTCTCCTCCCTCCGCCTCCCGCCTCCCGCCCCGTACCACCACCACTCCCACTCCCAAACCCCACCCTCCTCCTCCTCCTCCCACGCCCGCCTCCCCGCCTTCCTCTCCTTCCTCGCCGCCGCCGCCGCCGCCGGAGGAACGACCGTCGCCCTCTGCGACTCCGGCATCGACCACCGGTGCTCGCCCGCCCGCCCGCCCGCCCCCACACCGATCGCTCAGTCGATCCCGCGGTTGCGTATTGACGCGTTGCTTTTGTTCTGCAGGGTCGGGGGCAAGGAGAGCACCGAGCTGGTGGTGCGCGGGGAGCGGAAGCGCGTGCCCAACGAGTTCATCGACGAGCTCGCTTCCTTCCTCGGGGTGATGAGCTCGTGGCCTTTTCAGTGAGGATGCTTTCGCCGTTGAGGTGAGCTGAGCTGAGCTGACTGCTAAGTGTCCGTCCTCGCAGGAGAACCTGACGGTGGACTACGAGGAGAGGCACTACCATGGCACGCCGCAGAACAGCTTCCACAAGGCAGTCAATGTGCCCGATGTCGTCGTCTTCCCGAGGTATAACCTGATCTAACAGTAGTACTGATTACTGAATAGTGATAGATACTGATTGATACCAAAGTTCGTCTTGTGGGGTTATGTGTTGACCTTGTCCTTCTCTCAGAGATTGTAATGCCGGCCCAAATCAAATTTTGCAGGTCCCAGGATGAGGTACAGAAGATTGTGATGGCTTGTAACAAGTACAAGGTATGTCTCATTAATGCAAACACGGTGCGAATCTTTTGCATTTTTCTTTAGAAAGAGCCGCATCAGTTATCCGTCTGCTAGACTTTACTACATTTGATTGTGTGAATTGTGAAAATCCACTTTCTATCACACTATGCTGAGCTAGATTTTTATATTTCAGATTTCAGACTAATTTTATTGGTTGTTTTAGTTTACATGACCTTGGTACTGCTGCTAATCACGTGTGATGTAACGAATCTTTCTGGCTTCTCGTTTTTCTCGTCTGACTCTTGTACTTTGTTACACGTGCCATTTAAAATCTGTTTAGAAAATTGGAAATCAATTTTCACCTTGAGAATGCCATATTCTCAGTAAAGGAATTCTTTACCTTCATTTGCTGTCTCCAGCAATAGTCTATAAAAGGAGCAGACAGTGTGGATGTCTCCCAATGTTTTCATGATGGCTAATTACTTGTATGAGGGTTCCACTATAGAACTGAATGATGATGCCTTTTTCTTCGAGACAGGTGCCAATTGTACCATATGGTGGGGCTACATCAATTGAGGGTCACACGTTGGCACCTCATGGTGGTGTTTGCATTAACATGTCTTTGATGAAGGTAAACATTGATAAATGTAACTAGAGACCATATAGTTGTAGGCACTAATAATTTCGTGGAAATTAAATCTTTCTGAATTAATTACCCTTGTTTCTAATCCTTAAAAGGTGCTTCAGTATATGTTCCATCAATTTCTTTTTACCATGGTTTGATTGTTTGATACTACTTCCATATGCCAAACAGACAAAACTGTTACTAGCAGTGAGCTCTTGATGCAGGATAGATGAGACGATACAAAGCTGTTTCTCTGTTAATTTCACTTTCTTCTAATTTGTAGTTTGCTTTAAATCGTTCACAGAAAATCAAATCCCTGCATGTTGAGGATATGGATGTAGTTGTTGAACCAGGAGTTGGATGGATTGAGCTGAATGAGTACCTGAAACCATATGGCCTCTTTTTCCCTCTTGACCCAGGCAAGTCCATTGTTTATTGTTTACGTGAAACATAATCTGTCCACTAACTTTGACATAAAACAGTATGAATTTGTACTGGATGTCATTTGGTTGCTGCTAACTAAATTTAGTTTCTGATAATTTTGTTTAACTTTCTTGCATCGTCTAGACATTTGGGTGATATGTACATCTTTGTGCCTGTGATAACATGACATGCAGCATATTCGTCCAACTTCACCCATCCTTTTGGGCATTTGGTAACATGATATGAAGCATAATTTTGTGCTAGATCGGTGGTTTAGCTCAAGTATTCTTATCTGATTTGCAGGGCCTGGGGCCACTATTGGAGGAATGTGTGCTACTCGCTGTTCTGGTTCACTAGCTGTGAGGTAATTCTCCTTATATTTCTCAGGGTACTTTCGAGCTTTTATAGTGAAACGGTCCACCCCATCGAAAAATAATGTACAACTGTAATCCACGTGATGGTGCATTCTTTTATGGTTATCTTTATGATTTACTGTTAAATGGCTTTGATGATTTGCTTATTAGTTTGTAGGTACGGAACAATGCGGGACAATGTGATTAACCTCCAGGTTCTTTTGGCTATCCTTGAGTGAGCTATTTTCAATTGACTTTCACATACAAATAGTAAAATTTTCTCAGTACTGCAGGCTGTTCTACCTAATGGTGATGTTGTCAAGACGGGTTCTCGAGCCCGAAAGAGTGCAGCTGGGTATGCAAGATCCCCTCCCGAATAAGTTTCTTTTTATGTATCTTGGGAGTGAATCATTATTTCACTGGTTCCTATGCCCATTAATGTGTTAAATACATGTGGGATTTACATGTATTCTTGGCATCAATGATGGGTTTTTTGTTCTCTTCTGTTGAATGTCAGATACGATCTTGCTCGTTTGATCATTGGAAGTGAAGGAACTTTAGGGGTAATTACAGAAGTGACTGTACGTCTTCAAAAGCTTCCATCTCATTCCGTGGTAGGTCTTCTATTTCATCTAGACACTGTCCAAACAATGTTTTGCTTACAGTGTGTACTGGACTTGAATGCCGTCAACTCTCTGCATATTGGTGTGTGCAGTTGTTGTGTTAGCATATACACTATTATGGCTTTATGTAGTACACCAATTACTTTCATTTGCTCATAGATCTTTCTTTTTGGAGAAATCCTTTATAATCATGCTATGGCACATAGCTATTATCTTGCATATTGGGAAATGGGGAACATTTGTGAGTCTGAACAAATAAAAGCTTCTCTTCTAAGCACCTGCTGTGTGCTCTGAACTGGAAAAATAACATGGTCTGAAGCCTATCGGTGTGATCTACTCCCTAAATTTCTAAACCTAATACTGTTGAAAGATCTACGCACACACACACACACTGGATTTCTATGTTCATTTTGCTGTACGAACTATTTTGTACTACCTGTCTATTTTGTTCCTTATTTTACTGGTGAAGACACTCCTAGGTGCTCTGCTATTTCAGGTTGCAATGTGCAATTTTCAAACAATTAAGGATGCTGCTGATGTTGCTATTGCAACAATGCTTTCTGGTATACAGGTTTGTCTTTTTTTCTTCTGATTTTAGTTAGTTACAGGTTTGTCTTTTTTCTGCTGATGAAGCTCATATATGAAATTGTCACACCTCCACTTTGTAATCCATCATTTCGATCAATGAAATGGCTATAAGGTAGCTCTACCTTCTTACATCAAAAAATATATGAGATTGTTACACCTCTGTTTCAGATTGAGCAAATCCGCTTGTCTCCATAGGCAAGTGTTAGGTTAACTAACTAGGGAAATTTGGTTCTATGAACTATAAATATTGAAATGCTTTCATAGAACTTCTGCAGGTGTTTCAGTAAGCAATTTAAAAAGGTTGTAGGTTATGACTACTTGTATGTTTTCTGCTTGACCAGGTCTCAAGAGTGGAATTGTTGGATGAGGTTCAGATAAGGGCAATTAACATGGCAAATGGTAAAAACTTACCTGAAGTACCAACCTTGATGTTCGAATTCATAGGGACAGGTAACCTAATTTTTATTTGAATAGTTAACACTTCACACTGAACTTTGACAAAAAAGTCTACTTTATACTGTATTGTGCATCTATGTTTGGCAGTACTGAGTCCTCTAGAGTTAAGTGTTCAAATAATAAATAAAAGATGGAACAGGAACCAATAGGCATAGAATATCTTAGTTTTCTCTAGATATGTTGACACTATAATTGACAAATGCAACTCCACAGTTTTATACTTTTACCGTCAATTAGTGTTTATGAATTTGGTTGATGATCAACGGTAGTGAGTAAAGAACTCTCGAATAAAACTAAATTTACTGTGCACACTGTTTCTGTCAAGATAACTTTTTGAATAGTACGTATTAAATAGCAGTCGGTATGTAGTCAAGTTTGGTTTCAAAGAGTGACATACAAGTCTGGGCTTGTGATCTTCCTGTCTTAGGGACAAAACCAGCACATTTCGAGTAATATAATACCTGGGTTTTGTTATCCACTTTTGAGCAGTTCCACTCGAAACTCAAAGTTCCTTCTCATTAAAAAACTTCTTAAGATGCAACTATTTTTTTCAGCTTGAATACCACAATCTATTTTTTTATTTGCTAATATATTTCCATCGTGAATACCCAGAAGCCTATGCTCTTGAACAAACACTATTGGTTCAAAAGATTGCCACAGAACACCATGGATCTGATTTTGTTTTTGTAGAAGAGCTGGATGCTAAAGAGGAGTTATGGAAGGTCAGCCAATTTTTTCATCTGAACTTGTGTAGATTTCCTAGTACTCATCTGAATATTGTAGACTTCCTAGTAAATAAAGTAGTCTTTATTCTGCATAATCTTACACATGCCTGAATATGGTATCAAACTATCAATTTGCATCCACCTATATCTGGGTAACAGTGGCAGTGGCAGTACTGAAGTATGTGTTTCTCCTTTTGCTGAAACATATTTATGATAGCATTTTATTCTTATATGTGCAGATTAGGAAGGAAGCACTTTGGGCCGGTTTTGCCATGAAACCTGATCATGAGGCTATGATAACGGTCTGTTTACTTATAACTTGTCAACATATATTTTTTTGAACAAAAAAATATATTGATCAAGCATAGTCGGTGTACTTTGATGTTACACATCATGCTACCTGATGTTTGATTATGTAGTTGTGAATCTCAGCATCTTCCTTCGTAGTTATCATCCTCTTCATAAATGTGAGAACAATTATGATCTCAAAATAAGTGCTGCATTCAGGAGGACAATTGGCAACCAAACATGCTTACGGCTATGTAAATATGATTGGTCTTGTATCTCAACTCTTTCTTTGAATCAAGATAGGACTTCTCCATTAGCAAGCTGGTCTATTTAAATCTTGTGAGCACCATATTTATAGGATAAATCCATAATATGCTACTCACTGTGAGGATGACATGTGGCTCCCGTATCATGTGCGTCTATAGATTGGACAACTCAATGGCATAAAATGGATCCCCCCTCCCCCTTCTGATTTTTTTTTATCTCATATGCTTATATAGATCGTCCAAAGGTCGTCACAATCATCATACCCTTACAAGCTTTCAATTTTCAGTGGACTGACTCTATCAAGTCATCTAATGCCACATATATGTTTATTTATGCAGGATGTTTGTGTTCCTTTGTCTAGACTTGCAGAATGCATATCTGTCTCAAAGGAAAAGCTTGATGCATCACCATTGACTTGGTACACGTTCTCTCTTATTATGCAAAGCCACTGTGTAAAATTATGTTCTCATTTATATCTAATACAAGGCATAGTCATGTGCTCCATTATCTAATATTTGAAGTATGCATAAAGTAGCATCAAGCATGTTATTATCTCGCAATGGCTCCAATAAGACATCATGCCATCTTTTTTTAATCATGAATTCCTTACCTCTGATTTTTGTACGTTCCTAGTTTGGTTATCGCTCATGCTGGTGATGGAAACTTCCACACAATAATCCTATTTGACCCTAGTCAAGAAGACCAACGACGTGAAGCGGAGAGGCTAAACCATTTCATGGTTCATACTGCTCTCTCTATGGAAGGTACAATGAAAAACTGACCAAGCCAGCATGTAAAAGCTGCCTGAAAAGATTAATATTGACTCTGATGATGAACAGGTACCTGTACAGGAGAGCATGGTGTAGGTACAGGGAAAATGAAGGCAAGTGTCTATCACCTGTTTTCTTTTATTATGTTCTGCACTTCTGCTAGCAGATACAAGAGCCATCTTTGCTGATACGATTCTCAAAGTGATGGCACAACCGCCAAGTGCCAATCACTAACCATTCTCTTAAGATAGGAAAATTGCAAGAGGCTATACCAGTACATTCATGATGGTTGAACAGATTAAAAGTTCATGAGTATCTGGCCCAGAACGTACCTTCAAAACTTCAATTTCCCTTGCTGCCTATTGTAAATTTGTTACCCTACGGGTTATCAAGATGTACTTTATTTTTGAATTTCCTGATAGGACCTCCTATTGTCTTGCTCATGGCTGTCATCACCCCCATTACTGACTTTTATTTTTTCTATGCATTTTGGCAGTACCTAGAGAAAGAGCTGGGCATCGAGTCGCTAAGGACGATGAAAAGAATAAAGGCTGCGTTGGATCCCAACAATATCATGAATCCAGGGAAACTGATTCCACCTCAAGTCTGCATTTGATGATACAGACGTTCCCAAGTTGCTGGCTGACTCACTGGCTGGTTCAGTGACTTCCACTCAACTCCCAGTCCAGCAAGGCAAGTCGTGGCGTTACCACTGAATGCGCATTGAACGGCGAAGACTCAGGACTGTTATACACGAGTTGAATGCAAAAATAAACGTGAACGCTAGAACTGTTACTCTGAGCCATTCATATACCGGGAATAAATGAGCAAAACTTCGTTCCAGTTGCTATATGAAATATGAGTGATTCTATGATAGGCTTGGTGATAGAAAATTCTAAGCTATTTCAAATATTTGGAGCTAAACAACGTAGTAGTAGATGTTTGGTGAATTGAAGATTTGCCACGTTAGAGCTGATAATATGATTTGTCACTCATGTGTCTATGATATACTAGACCAGTGAGTGTTGCGTGAGTTACTTGGAGTAGGGTAAAAAATGTTATGGATTTTTCTGTCCGGCTATCGTTTTCCTTTTATACCCACCTTTTGTTTTGTTTTCGAATTGTCTGGAAATGGAATCGAATGGTAGGGGATCTTTATTGACTGCTTTAGCAGCATACCGTTTTCATTTGAAAGTTTTGTAGAAATCACCTGTTGATGCTATAATATTATTTGAACCATTCAGTTAGAGATATTTAGAACTCATTAATATCATATGCATGTCATATAGAGACCATTCCATATATCAGCTGAGACGCAAAAAAAAAAACTGTAAACATTGGTAATTAACTAAATTGTTTTTCTTATATTATCCTTCCTCTCTTTCCCCTACCCGTAGTAAAATCACTCTCCTTTCATGTTTCTGTCTTCTCGCTCTCCTCCCCACACCAGTAAATTTGTTTAGCTGTCAGTTTTACGGGCCACTTATTACATATTTCTCTCTCCTCACTTCCTTCTTTCCACATCAGTAAATTTGTCTAGCTCTGGTAATTTTATGGGTCAGCCCCAACCCCCAAATGACAAGCGGTAAATCATGAATTACACACAGGCACACAGCCATGCAGTGCAGAACGCCGATTTGGTAAGCATCACATGTGCCAGTCTGCCAGACATAGTGGTGAAAAATCATGAAGGAGGTCAAAACCAATACCCTAGCAGAAGGGAAACGACTCCCAGAATTCATCTTTAGCTTTGGTTTTTCTTATACAGTTTTTTTCATACTTATACACACCTTTTACTTCTACTATGTTTAATGAAATTGGTACACTCTAAGCGTCGGTAATTCGTTAGAAAAAAAACAGATGTTGGCGTCGAAAATCGCCAACACGCGGTTCGTCAAGAACAAATTTTGATAACAAGATAACCATTACGCTTTCGCGGCAATGAGCGACCGATTTTCAAGCTAATCGGCAAAGAAAATTGAATTGATCTACTTCTAAGAAGAAAAAGCAAAAAAGAAGAACGTAAAAAAGAACTATAATGAATTTATTGATTGGGTTGGAGAGGGGAATCTCTCCAATCGGCCTTAACCATATGTAGGGCGCCTGGTCTTTGGCATGTTCCACGTTTACTGGGAGTAAATTAAGCGTCATTATTTTAACCGATTGAAGGTAGGAAACACAATTATCTAATGACGGTAGGCAATCCAGCGGATTTCTGTTGGAAGCTTTTCTTGCCTGCTGCATTCTGAATATAGTGTGCACCGAGATCTTCTGTGCCTACTTCGCATCATACCTCGCCCTTTTAACCTTCACTGCTACCAGATAATCCCTAATATATATCTTCAATATTGGTTAGCTTCGGCTAAATTGCTTCATCTAATTTAATTAATGACAAATATAATTAGCTCTCTATCCAGGTCAATACTAACTAATTTTCTCCTACCGCTATTTGCTTGATTAACAGCCGAATCATACCATATAAACTTTTATTATCATATATGCCAAATTTGACTATCAACAACAGGTGCCAGACAGACCGACCGTACATGCAACGAAAGAACTCCTGGAACGGTTTTTGTACCCTTGTGCCGGCCGAGACGGCACCACGCCTTTCTCGTCTCGTCTCGTCTCGTCTCATCTCATACCGCAACCACCTCCACCACTCCACGCGCCTATATCACCACACGTCACGCTTCCACCTCCACCTCCACCTCACTGTCGATCTCCTCCCGCTTCGATCCATCCATCCATCGCCATGGCGGCGGAGCGCGTGGTGGTCGACGAGTGCCGCGGTGTGCTGTTCGTGTACAGCGACGGCGCCGTGGAGCGCAGGGCCGCGCCCGGGTTCGCGACGCCGGTGCGGGACGACGGGAGCGTGGAGTGGAAGGACGCGGTGTTCGACGCGGCGCGCGGGCTCGGCGTCCGCCTGTACCGGCCGCGGGAGCGCGGCGGCGGGCGGCTGCCGGTGTTCTTCTACTACCACGGCGGCGGGTTCTGCATCGGGTCGCGCACCTGGCCCAACTGCCAGAACTACTGCCTCCGGTTGGCGGCCGAGCTGGGCGCCGTCGTCGTCGCGCCCGACTACCGCCTCGCTCCCGAGCACCGCCTCCCCGCGGCGTTCGAGGACGCCGAGAACGCGCTCCTCTGGCTCGCCTCGCAGGCGCGCCCCGGCGGCGACACGTGGGTCGCCGAGGCGGCCGACTTCGGGCGGGTGTTCGTCTCCGGCGACTCGGCCGGCGGCACCATCGCGCACCACCTCGCCGTGCGGTTCGGCTCCGCCTCCGGGCGCGCCGAGCTGGCGCCCGCGCGCGTCGCCGGCTACGTCCAGCTCATGCCGTTCTTCGGCGGCGTGGAGCGGACGCCGTCGGAGGCGGCGTGCCCCGACGACGCGTTCCTCAACCGCGACCTCAACGACCGCTACTGGCGGCTCTCCCTGCCGGCGGGCGGCGCCACGGCGGACCACCCGTTCTCCAACCCGTTCGGGCCGGCGAGCCCCGACCTCGCCGCGGCGGAGTTCGCGCCGACGCTGGTGGTGGTCGGCGGGCGCGACCTCCTCCGCGACCGCGCGCTGGACTACGCGGCGAGGCTGGCGGCGATGGGGAAGCCCGTGGAGGCGCTGGAGTTCGAGGGGCAGCAGCATGGCTTCTTCACCATCGACCCCTGGTCCGCCGCCTCCGGCGACCTCATGCACGCCGTCAAGCTCTTCGTTGACACCGACGGCGGCGGCGGCGCCCGCCTCGACGGCTGATCAGCCGCCGCGTGCTCCTCTCTCGTGTGTGCCTTGTCGGCAATAATAAATCGATTCGGATTTCAAAATGCTAGAAAATTCATTTATCAAATGTTCAAAGTTCAGAAGGGGGTATATGATCCATTGCCAGCCATTTGCGTATATTGCAGCTTGATTTGCGAGAGGCTCCTCTAACTGATGGGTGTCCCTGACATGAGTCTACGAGAGTGACTCCTATCTGTTAAAGATTCATGTCCCTCTAAAAATTAGAGAACTTATTCTGCTTTATTTGGTAACGCTATCTATTAAGGATCTATGTCCCTCTGAAAGTTAGCGAAACTTTCTTTAATCGAATCAGTATAAGATGGTGCTATTTCATTAAATATAGCGAGAGAAAAGTACGACCCCAATAGGGAAATAGAAAAAAAAATGCTATACATAACTATACGTGTGAAGAAAGAAACTCTCTAAGTTTTTTTTTCTTTAGCCAGAACCCAAGTTCTTGCTTATTCCTTTATTTTGGCCAACGGTTTAGGGTCTACAGTCTCCTTATGTTCTGAGACACGCTGATTTCTCTCCTTTTAGATCTCACAAACAACCAGAAGAAGAATTAGGGTACACAAGTCTTTCTTAGAGACATCTTTTTTATTGGATATCATTTCACACCAAGTATGGACGTCTTGGCACGGCTCTAATTGAGGCAGATCTATCGGTGGATAAATACTGTAGCAAATACTGTAGCGATTTACTATTCTGATTTTACTGTGCCGAATCTTTTTTGGCCGTTAGATTCAGACATAGATGGTTCAGATTGTGTACAGCAGTTAATGTGCAGTCCTAGTAGCAACTGCATTTGATCTCGTTCGCTGACGGTCTTATCGTAGGCAAATTTACTCGCCTCGGTAGTCCTCCAACGCCTGTCACCTGCGGCACGGCCCCGCGTGGATCAAACCGAGCACCTCCAGTGTAACACGAGCCACGCCGCCACGCATCCATCTGCACAAATTCCAGCACCGGCTTGATCACCCTCCTGTGCACAACTCCATTTGCATTTGTGTACCCTGCAAAACAACCGCCTCGCAAACTAATGCAGCCAGCTGCCAGTAAAATCACCATGCAAACATTGATCTCAGTCGCCAAATCTCACTCTCCTATGCTACTGCTGCATGCATGTGACCAGCCCAAGCCAACTAAACGGCTGCCGCTCCCCAGCATCTTACACAGATCAGCCGAGCAATGCATGATAAGTTCCTGCACATATATACTTCGAACTTCGAAGTACTCTCAAGCAGACCACATGATAATTCCAGCAACCTATTCTAAATAATTTGGCCTGCCCAAATATACTAACTAAATGCCAAATTATGATGCAAACACATATGTGTCAGATAGAGAAGGAATGAGATATAAGTCCCACTATTATTTTTAAAAGTTTTTTTACTGACTTAGCATAGACCATTGTCTAAACCATTAATGGAGCTGAGCTAATTTGCACCGATTTTTTAAGTTGAGAGAAGCATTATACCTGGTTTTGGGTTGAGATATGCCATTTGATCATAGACAAAACAGGAGATAGGTAGAATAGACTTATTCCTTCCCCTCAAGTATACAACCCATATATGTCAGTTCGGCCAGCTTTCTGTAGCCCAATTAAATTTGCACACATAAAGCAAGAAAATAATCATTTTCTTTACATAGCTAGATTCAATCTTCATTGTCAGTCCGAGCGAGCGAACGGCGACTGAATCGTGCCGAACTAAACCGATACGACAACAGAAACAAATCGGACGACGTACAAAATTTTCAAGCAAAAACACTTTAAACTTTTAATAGTAGAGAAGAGAAGAGATAGAGATGTGTGTGTGTTTGCCATGTAATGGAAAAAATGTTAGTAGTGTTAAGTCCGAAACGGTAAAGAACATCAGAGTGGGCTACGATGGGCTGATATGTTGGCCCGGCACGTTGGCCCACACTTATCGGCCTGATCATGAGCATCGAACCAAGGCCAAGGCTCAATGGTTGGTTCCGTATCCACCTCAAATTGTGATTTCAGATTTGGTTAGTCCTCTGATAAAACTAATCTTTGCTTTCTGAAGAAAGAGAGTAGTAAGAAAGTCCCTTGTATAGGACAAAATTTGCTATAGTACACTTGAACGGAAATGGTTTTTGGGCCAGCGTCATGAATCCCAACCAGACCCGAGCTACATTCTATGCCGATGACAATCCCCCCTCTCCAAAACCCTAGCGATACCAACTAAGCCACCCCCCTCCTAATCCAATCTACAAAACCATAGAAATTGGAGATAGTGGCAATGGCATCCACGACGGCGGCGACGAGCTATGGGTATTGATCTGCTCTCTCCTAACATGCTCACCCTCTCTCTCAAAAACCTTAGCAAGTAGCGGGTTCAGACATACTTTGCTTCACACCTCTCATCGCTGCTTCTGTCGCTGCTTGCCGTGGGCATCTCCAATTTCTAGGGTTCTAAATAGGGGATCTAGGGAGGGAAAGTGGCTTGGGTCTGGTCCAAGTTAAACCCAGTTAGGTTAGAAGTTGTTGGTCCGAGGGATAAACTTGTCCTTTCTAATTGTTTCTCTTTATATGGCGCATAAATAATAAAATAATGACGATGATGTACTTCATCAAATTACCGGGTTTTTAGGTGTCCATTTTAAGTGTTATGCAGTAAATTTTCTTGTAATAGTAGTCTATTTCTAATATGTAATCGTCCCTTTTTTTTCTGCGAGGAATATGTAATCGTCCCTGAGTATTCAAATATGATGTTTGAGGCTTACAAGATTCTGAATCCAGGTTTTTCTTTTCCATCATTGTGATCTCCTTTTTGCCCTACCATTGCTTGTGTTTATCGATGAAGACTCTAGAGTGGTTAAGAGGGTGTGACATGGTGTCATACTCTCCAAATTTCCAACTCACTGTTCTCTTTTTCAGATTTTTGTTCTCCCTTCACCCAAAAAGATTGTGTTATTGTCACACATGGCTTCAAATCTTTTTCTGACCAATGGGGCTTCTGGCTGTCAAAATCTCAGTGAAATTTAAATCGTACGAGAAGAAACCTTATCTTATTTGGTTTTCTTTTCTCCTGAAGATGAAGATTAAGTTTTTTTTTATACAAAACGAGGTGGTATTAACGTATGATTGATTGAGTTTTAATTATTACAAACTTAAAAAATATATTAATATGATATTTTAGAGCAACTTTCATATAGAAAGTTTTCACACGAAACGTACCGTTTAGCTGTTTGAAAAGCGTGCCACGAAAATCTTTATCTTCATCCAACTCTTGTTAGAGAAAAGAACGGAACCTGACAATCTTTTTCGTTCTGATATCTGGATTTGGACATCACAGCAGATATATTCTACCTGATGGTCCCTGATCCATCTCCAAGCTAGGATTCATATTTCTTCGCCTTTTTTTTTTCGGTTTTGTGATCATCTCTTGATCCATCACCATTTCTATCTATCTATCTCTTGGATAAGTTCATGACGTTTCTTCTACCTTCCATCACTGTCAGCTGTAATAAGAGCAACAGGACCAGTCCAGCCTTTGATATTAGATGATGCAGACGTGTGGAAGAACGGTCGCTCTGAACTGTTCTTCTTAGTTAATTAGCTAGTCCCATAATTCAAGATTTTTTTTAAGTATGAAAGTAATCTTTTTCAGTGTGCCATCATGCATGAATTGATCTTCCAGTAGTTGTGTTTGATGCAATCTTTAATAATTCGAAGTCTTAATCCATTCAATTTTCCAAGGCTTCTCCTTCAGATAGATATAATTTTGTCAGCTGTCGCCCGGATTTTCATGAAAGATTTGGCTCTTTTGTCATTAATTATTAATTAAGAAAGAGATGCCTCTGCCTATCCGAGATTACTCTGACGACCATCTTTTTTCTGTGACGGAATTTCTACTCTGACCAAACTTTGCAATGTTATCTTTTTTTCAGTAGAACATTTGGCTTCTTTCTGAATTTTTCAAGATCAGGTTGGAACTGAACATTCAGTCGCCTGTGCCACATTCATCAGAGCTGCTGACAGTTGTCGCTTGCTTGAAACAGTTGCAGGGGTATCATCTCTAAAAGTATCTCCTAATTTGTCTTTGATGTTTACAACTGAACTAAAATTTTGTGATATTTCAACTCAATTTGTAGTCGTTTAATGTGCTGACCTACTATAGCATGCAGTAGCACGGTGCCATGCTTTGAATTGTTTTTCTCATCATATAAACGCACCACCATTTCTTGTTTTTAATGGAGATGTCACTATAATGTAAAAGAAGTCAAAGGATTGTTTAATAATCCTTTGGTTTCAATACGCTCAAATTTTTAAGGGAGTATATAGCACTTCAACTTAACTTTGTTAATATTACGGTTCACAAGCTTGCTCTGAAGTCTAGTAATATAAAGACTAAAAAAGAGGCAACAATGGCCTATAAATTGACATTATGATTGGAGATAGCATGCATGTCCATGTTGGATGGATAAATCCAGTGACTGTGAGTAATGACAATAAGCAAAAAAAAAAAGTTAAAAAGTTATCGAGCTGAGGTCAAGAGTTCAGTTAACCTGCTACCACATCACAAATTACCACAGACTCCACTATATTTAATTACATCAAAGCTAAAGATGAAGTGATATAATGCTATACAACTATCGATTAAAAGTGCTTAGTTACTTACATGATCAGTCCACTAATGGTGGCCACTAAATTCACCAATGTCAGTGTGTGTGTGCGCGCCACTAGTAACACTCCAGCTGCCATGGACTGACTCAACTCCAATGTGTCTGCAACTCAACGTTGCTATCAAACTAAAGAGGTTTTGTACATATATGTTTGCATACATAATGCGTTGTGATCTCATGGACATGATGCAATTCGCCAAATTCAGCCAACTCATAAGGCCATGACACAAGTTGGACATTGTTAAACCAAAATAAGCAAAAGGTGATGGGGGCCATAGCCTCTGATTGATCAATTCGATACTCAATTAATTAATCAATTATGCTGACAAAAACAACTAAAAAAGGACTCATCACCACAAAATCCTAGCAAATAATAGTCACTTTCATCGATATATTTGAGTACACATTTTGAGAGGATGGTTCAGTTAGGCCCTATTTAGATCCCACACAAAAATTTACACCATATCACATTAAACGTCTGAACACCTACATGAAATATTAAATATAGTAAAAAAATAACTACTTGCACATATTATAACTAATTTGCGAGACGAATCTTTTGAGCCTAATTGCTTCATATGATTTGACAATGTGGTGCTATAATAAACATTTGCTAATGACAGATTAATTAGGCTTAATAAATTCATCTTACGGTTTACTGAAGGATTATGTAATTAGTTTTTTTTTGTTAGTGCCCGAACATCCAATGCGACACCCTATATAATATCCGATGTGACACACTAAAACTTTACCATGTATCTAAACACCCTCTTAGTGTGCTCCAATGATTCAGGTACAGTGCTAGTTTCTTGTGCTGGTTATTGAGCAATTACTCTTTCGGTTACAAAAGAATGTCTTTATATATCTTTTCTAATTAAGTAAAAAGGGCACAACTTTGGTTGCTCAATTACCCTGCATAAATTCTGAAATAATTATATGTGTAATATTATGAAAACATCTATTATAACAAGCTTGGTTACATATTTTTTAATGGCTCAAACTCTAAAACAATATATAGATCAAAATTCACACCGATTTTGGCCTACTATATCTTTGAAAAAACATCTTTTGGTTGAATAAATATACATTACAAACCTTCATTTGGACAACCTAGAAGGACACCTTGACTTGTACCACCATCTGATGTGACTATGACCAATCAAACTATCTAATGTTTGTATATTATGTTTAAGAATTAAGTGAAGTATTGGTCTTTTCCTCATCATCCTAATCTTTGAGGTAAATGGAAATTGCTATGATGAGACTGATACAATTTTATTACTCTCTCCGGGTTGATAATACTTATCACTTTTGACACGAGCACGGTCTTCAAAAACTAACTTTGACCATTATTTATCATTATAATATGTATAAAAGTGTTAACAAATATATGATTTTATTAAAGTACTTATATATATATATACATAAAATGATTATGAATCATTTTAAAATATTCATCTTTCAAATACAGTGACTATATATATATAGTCACTGTATTTGAAAGATGAATACTTTAAAATGATTCATAATTAAAGATTCTAAAGTTTGACCTCACTCTTGTCTAAAACGACAAGTATTATCATCCTGGTGGGAGTACGACACTACCTTCCATGATTGTCGATTGGGTTGAAACATCCCGAGCCCCATATTTGCCGCACACACAAGAGAATAAGTATCATACGCTCTGACCATAAGAAATTTTATCGTATGTATAGCAGTATTTTTGGTAAATTGGCTGATGCACACGTAACTCAGAATATTAATTGGCCTTGTGCTTCTTTTTTTTTAATAATGAAGATGAAGTTTTCGCAGAGGCTTTCTCTAGATACTTGACAGTGCTTTAAATATAAGAAATGCACCATTGTTTTAAGGTTTGGGAGTTTTCACCACGGCTGCTATAAAACACACCTATGCATCATGCTTGATAGACTCTCCGGTATATGAAAGTTCACCATTTTTTGAAGTTTTGGGTGACAGCATCACCCTGAAGTGTAATTAAGAATATTCCACCTTTTATCACTCAAACCACTTTAACTTTGATGGGTTGGTTAAGATTTAACTTGCATAAGTCACCCTTGACTATCAAGTACTAACCACTACTACCTTTTAATTTGGACACTTATGGGAAAAACATAACAAAGCTGGAAGGTTTTATTTGTTTGGATGAAAGGCATTTGAAGGCATTGGCATACGTGAGCAACGATTTTAATTTCACGAGTACAATTGGATGCAATTTATCTTTCTGTAGAAGCGATATCATTTCTTACAGTTTACGATTCTAGCTACATATATAAAATTTAATTTTTGTAATTTCTATCAATGTCATATTGAAGTCGTCACTGAATAGTTAAATTGATAATAAATATAAAATTTCTAACCTACCAAGAAACATTTTTTCACCCCTAGATGCACATCGCATATCACCTATCCATCAGGCTGGATCATCTCTGTTTGTACAGCGGCAACAAGGCGTCCAGATTGCAATTATTTATTTTTTTACGTGCACGTGTGTAGATTGCAACAGATTGCAACTCCCTGTTCAGCAAGCTGCAAAATTTTTGACTCTACTGTTGATGTTGATACCGCTGTTGATCTGAGCAACGGGTGTTACGTTGTCGACCACCGGCGTCGAACTTGACCGTGCACTGCGAAAATACAATATACAGTAACGAAACGATCTTTCGGTGCAATTAAAGTAAACCGGGTGACTTTTAATGTTACAAAAATTAAGGTCCCGTTCTAATCTTGCTTACAGGGAGCTACTTTTTTATTTATTGTAAACATGATTTTTAAACTGTTAAACGGTATACTTTTATTTATAAAAAAAATCAAAGCTTTCTTAATTGTTCGGCTAAGCCAAACACCTAAAACGAACGCAGCCTAAAAACAAAATCTAAACCAATTTTATCTAAATACATCCCTAATGAAAAGAGATGTAAATTAACTTAATCCAATTAGGAGCAGGTACATTGTGTGGCTATATAAGCGAGGTGGCTATGCAGTGTGATTTTAGGTGATTACTACTCCATTCTTGCTTAGCTCAAGAGTGTCGCAACAGCTTGTGGACACAAACATGCCAACCATGCCGGCCGTCGTGTCCGCCGCCGGCGCCGCCGCGCCGTGCTCCAACGTCGTCGAGGACCTCGTCGGCTTCCTCCGCGTCCTCAGCGACGGCACCATCCTCCGGTCGCCGGGGCCGGTGTTCTGCCCTTCCACCTTCCCCGACGAGCACCCCTCCGTGGAATGGAAGGAGGCCGTCTACGACAAGCCCAAGAACCTCCATGTCCGCATGTACAAGCCGTCGCCGGCGAGCGGCGGCGTCGGCGCCGGCGGTGGCGGGAAGCTACCGGTGCTCGTCTACTTCCACGGCGGCGGGTTCTGCCTCGGCTCGTGCACGTGGGCCAACGTCCACTCCTTCTGCCTCCGCCTCGCCGCGGACGCCGGCGCCGTCGTGCTCTCCGCCGGGTACCGCCTCGCCCCCGAGCACCGCCTCCCCGCCGCGGTCGACGACGCGGCGGGCTTCCTCCACTGGCTCCGGGAACGCGCCGTCGACGGCGACGGCGACGGCGACGGATGGTGGCTCGCCGAGGCCGCCGACTTCGGCCGCGTGTTCGTCACCGGGGACTCGGCCGGCGGCACCATAGCGCACCACCTCGCCGTGCGCGCCGGCTCGGCGGCGGCGGCGGCGCCCGACGACCCGGTCGCGATCCGAGGCTACGTCCTGCTAATGCCGTTCTTCGGCGGCGTCAGCCGGACGCCGTCGGAGGCGGGGTGCCCGGCGGAGGTGTTCCTCAACCTGGACCTGTTCGACCGGTTCTGGCGGCTGTCGCTGCCGCCGGGCGCCACGAGGGACCACCCGATGGCGAACCCGTTCGGCCCGGACAGCCCCGCCATGGACGGCGTCGAGCTCCCCCCGGTCCTCGTCGTCGCCGGCGGCCTCGACATGCTGCGCGACCGCGCCGTCGACTACGCCGAGCGGCTGTCCGCCATGGGCAAGCCGGTGGAGCTCGCCGAGTTCGCCGGCGAGCACCACGGGTTCTTCACGCTCGGCCCCGGCTCCGACGCCGCCGGCGAGCTGATCGCCGCCGTGGCGCGCTTCGTCGACGTGGCAGCGCCGCCACCGAAGTAGGGTAGTGCATCGAGATTCGTGCAGTCCATGTTTTTTTTTCACTCTCCTTTTGGTCGAGGGCGACATGTGCAGGAGAGACGGGTGTTTGTCACGTGTCAATGATGTGATGTGATGTGTGTTGTCATGAGACATCAGCGGAGTAAAATGAACCGGATGTCCAAGTGTGATTTGCATGCAGTATCTTTGCTTTTAGCCAGTCCTGTAAAATATCGGTGATTTATATCTTTGCCAAAAAAAATTTTGGGTAAATTTGGATGTTTGGGTTTTTAAGTACAGTACTGTACGTAGAATGTAAAATACTAGGGTGCCAGATTGTAAGGGTATTATGTAAGGCAGTAGAACCAAAGATGTTGTGAACTCTATTGATGTTACCATCTGATAAGGATAAGGATAACAAACCAAACACATTTTACAAAACTTTTCGGCTTTGTTGAAATTAGCAGCATCACCACATTAAACCCAAAGGGCAAAGGCTAATGGGCAAATGCGCGTGCTCTCTCTTTCACCAAGCAAACGGCATGCATTTTGTTTTTTTATATTGTATTTCTCTTTCTGATTTCTGGTAATTTTATATATGGAAATGACTCCAGCTTGGACGCCCGATGGGAGGGGTTAAAATCGGGCGTTGATGTCAGCATGACGTCAGCGCCACGTATACGTGTAAAACCATTTTAAATTGATTTTTCTCTTAAATTACTTATCTAAATCATGATTCGATTGCACCATTAAATTCGTTGCAATTAAATCTTCAAAACAAGACCACACATGGATATATTTCGACGAAAAAAAATTAGCTTATTATTGAATTTATTTTTAAATGTTGCACGATGTTCCACTAGGTATATCGGAATTGTTTCACTAAGTAGATCGAAAATGTTTCACTCGTTTAAATAGGGTGTTGTTTCACCTTATATAAAAACAATATTTCAGCAAATAGCGAAAGAATGTTTCAGTTCACTACAACATTAGATCTATATATAGTGAAACATTGTGAGTACAATAGGTGAAACATTTTTTGTGGAACAAAAGATAAAACGAATTCCCTTAATAGAGGGTTTTTAAAATATGTAGGTGATTTGTTGCAATAGAGTATTTCTGTTCACTATAACATTAGATCTATACATAGTGAAACATTTGATTGCACTAGATGAAACATTTTTGGTGGAACAAAAAATAAACCAAATTCCCTTAATAGAGGGTTTCCAAAATATGTGGGTAATTTGTTGCAATGGAGTATATGGTGGAGATAAGTGGCAGGTGAGGGCAGAGACGTGGTGGGGCCCAGAGGCAGGCAGCGCGCGTCGTGGGGGGGGGGGGGAGGGAGCGCCCGATACTTCTCCCTCCCCGAGCGACCGATCCGGGGCATTCCCTTATATATCAATGGTTTATACTTTATATTCCTTGTCCTATTTAGTATTATTCTTTTATTCCTATTTAGAATCAAAGTTTCTATCTAGAAACTTTCTATACCAGAAAGTTTTGTATTCTTAAAATTTATAGACATGTGTCTCTTGGTAGGCTGGCATGTGGCCTAGGCATGTGAATGTTCGCCCATTAAACCTACCTCGCTAAGCCAACAAGAACATTTGAAAAAGAAAATTAAATTGCAGCAAATGAATAACTCTTGGACCTCGGATTTCTACGGAACTTTATGAATTTATATGAAGTTCAGGTGTCAAAAGTGACCTTAGGGAGAAGAAAAAAATATAACCGGAGGGGAAAAAAGAAGTAGTAAATAAAAACAAGAGATAGAAAAGCAAACAAGTTAAGGCACATGAAAGAAAGCTACTCAAAAGGCCTGTGCTCCACTGAAGCTTCTTCCTTTTTGGATTTGATAGAACACCTACCGGACTAAAAGTTTTAACTTTCCCCAGTAAAATAACATTTCTTTCTTGTAAGAAAGTGTAATTAAATGAAATATGCTTCTGATCTCCCCACATTTTTAATGATGTGAACAGTGGAACTTTTAGTAGTCCTTATCTAGTCCATAGACTTCGACAAGATGGGGGCAAAAGGATCGAAGCCATTTAGCGACTGGCATTTAGGAAAAAAAAAGCATATATTTAAATAATCGCAGTTATTACCTGAAATTAATTACAGGTAAGAGTGATGACCTCAACCATGTAAGGCACAGTTACACATGTTAAGAACTCAAATCCTCTACAGCACTGCTCCTGTATCAGGGTCATTTACATGTACTCCATCTGTCCTAAAATATAATAAATTTTGATTGGATAGAATACATCATAATAATGTAAATCTAGATATGCTTTTTATCTAGATTAGTAGTACTAAAATATGTCACACCCAATCAAAGTTCTTTATATTTTGAGATAAAAGGAGTAGGTCCTTGAATAAGTAGGGCTCATATGTACATATTGACCTTGTTTACTCCTGTAATTTGTGGTGCTGAGTGCAACATACTTTGACATTTCCATGCAACTCACTTGGAAGGAATTAAATTGGTTAATGCCAAGAGTGTTGCAGTAAGGGCGAATCTTTGCAAGTGGCTCTGCAGTGAGTTGAATCTTTGCAATCCATGCCATATCCAATGGGACCATGCACCTTCATGTCATGTTGCTAAGAAAAAAGATCAACAAGACAAGATACAAGATCATCATGGGAGCTAGATTACAAATTCTTTGGAGAAGATGTGTATCCATATATGAAACCATAATAATCCGGCCTGCTGCTAGATCTACCTTATCTGGGCATGTGATGTGTGCATATCTACCAGTGCCCGAATGTTTATAGTCCTGAGGGACATATTTATCATATATAATCTAATTTATGTTTACTATTTTGATGAATGTATTTACAGTTGCAGCTTAATTTAGAGTTTTAGTAGTTTAGTCATACTTTAGGATTGATTCAATATAAAGGTTAGGGCTGAGCTTATCAACTGCACGTAAAATAAGACAAGTGATTATCTTGAGTATTACTTTTGAAATAATAGATTTATTTGAATTTTTAAAGAGACTTTTATAAAGAAAGTTTATGTAAATAACACATTGTTTAATAGATTGGGAGTTACTATATTCTAATATGCTCATGATAAATAAGAATGCAGTAACTCTAAATAGAAGCAAATTGCATGTACAAAGGTAGAGTCTAATATGAGCTCTTTATATTAATTAATATCACTAGAGATTATCCTTCTACAATGATAGTAAAGACAATAAGATTTCTAAACCATTAATGTACTAAATATCTTTTTTTATTATACTTCTTTCCTTTTCTACACCCTCATGCAACAAACTTTTCGTTAATAAATGCTAAGAGTCGACTCTAAGCTGTTATCATGCGTAGCAACGATGTTTCTCATTCATTCCATCTCTTTCTTCCACGTCACCAAATTTACTTGCATGATAACGAAGAGAGCCTGTTATTAGACACCATTGTATACTCTTAACACACACTCTCCTCTCTCTCTCTCTGATAATCTGATTGTTGGATCATTATCACACAAGACCAAAAACTGACAACTCATATCTGTTAGGTACTATAGCCGAATACAATGTCTCTCCTCCTCATTTGATCTGGTCCAAGAAAATCACAAGTGATTAGCATGATGATGTGTACAGTAACAGTACATCGTACCTTCGTACAATAACAGCTACATGCACAAACTGTCAAACTGTATACCTGCACACGTGAAACTGTAAATTTCGGCTTTATATGCAGGTCGACCTACTGTGCTACTGTTTTTTTTTTCTCCTGATACATTATCCGAAGCCTATCAATTAGTCTGCATTAGAACAGACTGAATAACAGACTATAGCCGACTATAAACATATTTTAAATAGATAAAAAAGAAGATATAAAAGTAGCGGGGCAACAGGCTACAGATTTATAGCCAGCTGCAGTATAAACTTTAAGATACATGTGTGTATGATAGGTGGGACCAAACATTAATTATGTAGTACATGTTTATAGATAACTATTGTACGAATTAGCTATTAAATTAACTATATATGATTTGAAGCCAATAGGACATAGCCATGGTTTGAATCAATATTGTCAAGCTAGCCAATCAATCAGGTGAAGAGAAGTAATCTAACTTTATTATTATTGTTATTTTCATAAGAGACAAAGTCATGATCTTCTTCCTCGCTGTAGCGGCGCCCCCTATTTGACCATTTCGAGTCGCTTCCACGATGGTCAATATGGTGAAGGATATTGCCTTATGCATCGTGCAAAACCTCTCAAAAGTAGCTCCAGAACACACGGTAATGGGTTGTTTGATTAGCGACCAAAGGTTGTCATGTCAAAACTTTGGCTGCCATTATCCCATATCCCTGCCCTAGCGTCCAACGTCACCTCCACCTTTGTCTCTTTACATATGTACACTCTAATCAATCTCGTCGATATTAATTGGCGATAAGAAGATGCTATTAGACCGTTGATAAGTTGAAATTTAATTATAAGTATAAAAGTGATCTTTTGCAATAAAAAATGTTAGAGATATGGAGGAAACTCGATGGTCCATATGAACCAAACATAACTATCTATTGTAATTAATATATACTCTTGTCAAACATGCTGCGGAGTGCATGGGCAATGGACCGATGGTTGCATGAAGGGAGGAACTCTATTATGTTGTTCACTTGATGAATGGAGGAACTCATTGTATCCAGCCATTTTCCCTTTACTTTGATTGTTACTACTAGTGCATGCTGGCTTGGTCAAAACACTGAATAGTTCAGCCTTATCTTCTCATCCTAATGTTCAACTTCAGCAGCAAAGCAGGGCAATTTGGCACGTGAAGAAGCTGACGTGGCACAACCATGCACACACGATAGTCAACTATACTTGCCACGTGGCTAGATATCTGCCCCCAAAGTCAATGGACAAATGGATCACTGCCACTTGGGCCCGGATATCGAGACAATGGGTCACTGACTCGTGGGCCCGGATATCTAGTTCTATTGATACCGCACGTCTCAACTGCGCTTAGCTTTAGTACTATTTATAGACGTCACCCGTACAGTTGTGCTGAGACAACTAAGCTAAGTGGGCAGTGGGCACCACCATGTCGTCGTCGTCTTCCTCGCCGGCGCCGCCGCACGTCGTCGAGGACTGCCTCGGCATCGTGCAGCTACTCAGCGACGGCACGGTGACGCGTTCCGGCGACTACTCCAGCATCTCGCTCATGCGCGACGTCCCGATCGACCTGCCCGTCCAGTGGAAAGACGTCGTCTACGACGCCGGCCGCGGCCTCCGCCTCCGCATGTACGCGCCGGCGAACCACGGCGGCGAGGAGGGGAAGCTTCCGGTGCTCGTCTACTTCCACGGCGGCGGCTTCTGCATCGCCAGCTTCGAGCTGCCCAACTTCCACGCCGGTGCGCTCCGCCTCGCCGGCGAGCTCCCGGCCGTCGTGCTCTCCGCCGACTACCGCCTCGCCCCCGAGCACCGCCTCCCCGCCGCGTACGAGGACGCCGTGGCCGTCCTCTCGTGGCTCCGCGGCCAGGCCGCCGCCGCCGCCGACCCGTGGCTCGCCGCGTCGGCCGACTTCGAGAGGGTGTTCGTCTGCGGCGACTCGTGCGGCGGCAACATCGCGCACCACCTCACCGTCGGCTGCGGCTCCGGCGACATCGCGCTCGACGCGGCGAGGCTCGCCGGGTGCGTGATGCTCTGGCCATACTTCGGCGGCGAGGAGAGGATGCCATCCGAGGCGCCGCCGCCGCCGCCGGAGGGCGACGCGTCGCCGTCGGCGATGGGCATCACGCTGTTCGACCAGATGTGGCGGCTGGCGCTGCCGGCGGGGGCGACGAGGGACCACCCGGCGGCGAACCCGTTCGGGCCGGAGAGCCCGCCGCTCGACGGCGTCGCGTTCCCGCCGGTGCTCATCGTGGACCCCGAGCTGGACGTGCTCCGCGACCGCGTCGCCGACTACGCGGCGAGGCTGCAGGCCATGGGGAAGCGCGTCGAGCTCGTCAAGTTCGAAGGGCAGGGCCATGGCTTCTTCGTGCTCGACCCCATGAGCGAGGCCTCCGGCGAGCTCGTCCGCGTCGTCAGGCGCTTCGTGCACGCCGGCTAGGTGATCGTCCGAAGTAAACCAAGATATGGAACTCGGATGACTTGTGTACTACTCCAGTGTTCTAGCGCGGGAGATTTGCAGCTTGATCCTTTCGTCTTCATCTTGTCATCCGTAGCCAATATTTCAATTTTATAAATTGTTTTTATAGTTGATTTTGATGTTTTCTTATCGTAGTTTATTTTTTAAAATATTGGTTTTAAGTCGTTAAAAACACGTGTACACAAATTTTGATCCTTAATTAGTTTTTAATATCGCTAATAAATGTTATGGTATAATCCTCATTTTAGATGTTAGGATCTACCAACTACTTTTCACTTTTAAGCGCTGTTTGGGTTAAAAAAAATAATTAAAGCGAAATGGTTTGTAGCCTAATGGTTACAATAGCCTCCCTAACACCTTAGGTTTTTGGTTCGACTCTCCATGGGAGCTGTATTTTGATCTGTGTTCTCTACAAGTTTGCAACTCTACTTGCTAACAGTTATGCATTTGAAAATATAAATGAAATCGTGCAGAGACAAGCGACGATATATATTGGACACAATTGTTCTTTTCATTTATTTATTTTCTTGTTGATTTATACTCGTGATATGATATACACGGTTGGAAAATCCGAGTTTTTTCTCTCTTTTTTTTTTTTTGCTCTCTACAAGTTTGCAACTCCACTTGCTAACAGTTATGCATTTGAAAATATAAATGAAATCGTGCAGAGACAAGCGACGATATATATTGGATACAATTGTTCTTTTCATTTATTTATTTTCTTGTTGATTTATACTGGTGATATGATATACACTGTTGGAAAATCCGAGTTTTTTTTTTTGGTGAAAGATAGATCAGTCGACAACTCGACATAAATACAAGTCCTTTTCGTATTGAGACGTATACTGGCCCAGCAATCAGCAAATGGGTTGTTGATGGTCCGTGGCCCGTGGTCCTCCCTTCCCTTACATCGGCCGCACCGACAGCCCAGAATAAGTTAAGCCCATTTAAACATTTTCTCGCCCAAAAATTTAATTAAACTTCGGTGGCATGTCATCATCTTCAAACTCATCTTTTTTTTGACACAGTAATATTCTCGAATTATCTCCCCGGATTTATTAAATTAAAAATAAAAGTAATCCATTTTTTGAGAAGAAAGTGAAATAATTTTTTTTTCAATGATATGCTCGAATTACCTCCACCGATTTTTTAAATAAAAAATAAAAGTAATCACATTTTTTTCCGACGAAAGTGAAATAACATTTTTTTTTCAAAGTGCATGCCGTCCTACGACAACTACAAGACAACCAATGGCGGAGCTAGAAAATTTTCATTGTCCGGGCAAATCTAACTACAAGTATTTACTATAAAAATTTTGTGTTCAATTCTATATTATATCAAATTTTGGAATAAGATTTCAAAATTTTACTTATATCAACCCCCTCAATACGGTATTATTTCGGCCAAATTTTTTAATTTTTTCATGAATTTTAGTAATATTTATTTAAATTAGACTAAATTTTGTTCAAAATTTTGAAAATACCGTCATATCAGCCCACTTGATACAAATACTGAAAACGAAAGATTGAACCCCTGACCGGACCACTGCTACTTTGGTATAGGGATGAAAACGGTCGAAAATGGTCTGAAACGATATTATTATTTTATTATTTTTTCGAAAACAAATGGAAATGGCCAGAAAATTTTCATATTTATGAATTCATCTATTTAATGTAAACTTCAATGCCACGCTAATAGAAATTAAAAAAAAGTAAATTTTAAAAACAGTAACCATCGGTAAAAATATTATTGTTATATTAGTTTTACGAAAACGGTACAGATGCGGTTCTACTTTGGTCGCCGGGCGGTGGCTCCGCGACCGAAGGCTACAACGAAACGTTTTGGTTTTTAGCTTTTAGCCTCATCAATCGGATCGTGGATGCGCTCAGCTAGTTAGATAAGCATATTGAGCTTCGTTCGCAGCCAAGCAAACGCTCGCGCGCGCAGCCGGCAATGGCGTCGTTGTCTGACCCGAACTCGCCGCCGCCGCACGTCGTCGAGGACTGCCGCGGCGCGCTGCAGCTGCTCAGCGACGGCACGGTTGTCCGCGCCGCCGCGCCGCCGCCGCCGTTCTACGTACGCTTGGACATCGACGACGGCCGCGTCGAGTGGAAGGACGTCGTGTACGACGCCGCCCACGGCCTCGGCGTCCGCATGTACAGGCCGGCGGCGACGGGGGGAGCGGAGGAGAAGCTGCCGGTGGTGGTGTACTTCCATGGCGGCGGCTTCTGCATCGGCTCCTGCACCTGGCCCAACTTCCACGCCGGCTGCCTCCGCCTCGCCGCCGAGCTCCCCGCCGTGGTGCTCTCCTTCGACTACCGCCTCGCGCCGGAGCACCGCCTGCCCGCCGCGCACGAGGACGCGGCGGCGGCGCTCATCTGGCTCCGCGACCAGCTCCTCTCCGACCCGTGGCTCGCCGACGCGGCCGACGCGCGCAAGGTGTTCGTCTCGGGGGAATCCGCCGGCGGCAACTTCGCGCACCACCTCGCCGTGCGGTTCGGCGCGGCGGGGCTGGACCCGGTGAGGGTCGCCGGGTACGTCCTCCTCATGCCGGCGTTCATCTCGGAGAGGCCGACGCCGTCGGAGCTGGCGGCGCCGGCCACCGCGTTCCTGACGCGCGACATGTGCGACCGCTACTGCCGCCTCGCGCTGCCCGCCGGCGCCGACAAGGACCACCCGCTCGTCAACCCGTTCGGGCCGGCGAGCCGGAGCCTGGAGGCGGTGGACGTCGGCCGCGTGCTGGTGGTCGCCGCCGACGGCGACCTCCTCAGGGACAAGAACGTCGAGTACGCGGAGCGGATGAAGGCGATGGGGAAGGACGTGGAGCTGGTGGTGTTCGCCGGCGAGGAGCACGCGTTCTTCGGCGTGAAGCCAATGTCGGCGGCCACCGGCGAGCTCGTCGAGGTCATCAGGCGGTTCATCGCCGGCGCCGCCGCGTAAGTGATCGTGATCGAGCGAACGCCGGCGACGGCGAGGTGGTTTGCCTCGTGCGCCACGTGTTCGTAGGCTTATTCCACAGATGCGACATGGTGGCAGGCACTGTGTCCTTGCAACAATAATTGAGACAAGCTTAATTACTTCGTACTACATTTGTGTTTTTTTTTTTTGTGGTTACAAATTGGGCACAATGGCAAGCAACAAAGGTCGACAAATTTATGTCATTGTTGTGAAATAGTGGTCGCAGTTTATATGGCTGCGAAGGAAGTGTGACAGTGACCGTAAGCAGAGGTAATAAAGTCAGCGTGCATTTATTATTATTTTCTGAGGAACAAAAGGAATATAGTGTTTCCATTCAAAAATATAAAAATTTAGACCAAATAAGATATTTTCTAAGACTACGAATCTGACTTGGGACAGATTGAGTACATTTTTTTTTCTTCCCTGTGGTATGTCCTTATTCAGTGCGAACATTTAGGATGAGGGAGTCAAATAGAAATTAGAGTGAAATGAGCTCGAAAGAAAATGAAAAAATTGGCAAGCTTCCCTCTCCAACACAGTACTATATAGGCTTTTCACGTTACTTGTGATTAATCCTAGACAAATCTTCCTGTTTCGTTTATTACCCAAACGAAACGAATCACACCAAAGAGAACAGTGATCGTAATTTTTTTTAGATAATAGAAATGGATTACATCTTCGGCTTCTGTCATAAGACACACAACTATAAATTTAATAGTAATAAAAATGTAAGATAAAAGTAAATCAAAATGAGAAATAAAGTGATGGGACAAATCCCCAACTCCCCTTTATTATTGACTAGCGTTAAACCACATAAAATATTTTAGCTAGCAATTCTTATGGAATTACGCCACCCATAGTGGAATAAGAGACCCTTAGCTACCGATTCCAAGAGTGTAGCAACATTGTGCATAGTATCCTGCTACTCCTGTGGTAGCATTGTAGACTAAAAGTGGAGCCAGTAGAAAGACATGAAGATAACCTGCATAGGGTTAGATAGTTGTTTACCATTAAAAACTTTATCATTGCGACAACGCCAAATTGACCAACATACAGCACTAACTTCAATTAGAATCATCTTCTTAATGGACCTAGATACCCTTCTAAGCCAATTACCGAAAATGTTTTTGGCGTTACGGGGTGGGGGATATTAAAAGCAAAAAACACATATCTCCAAACAAACTGAGCGACATGACACAAAGAAAAGATGTTGGATTGTCTCTTGTGCATAGCAGAAAGAACAATGTTTGTCTCCCCCATTTTCTTTTAGCTAGGTTATCTTTCGTTAGAATTACTTTCTTGTAAAGAAATTACATAAAGACCTTGATCTTTAGTGGAATTTTTAAGTCCCAGAGAATTCTCTTTTTATCCGAACATTACAGTTTATGATCGTGGCATACAGTGATCGTAATGTGATCATACAATTACTGAATTGATGCCAAAAGCTTGGCAATGCTCTCTAAAAGAATACTACTCCAGCTTAGTAGTGCTAATATGTTGATGGAAAGGCCAAATAAGAGATTGTGGTAACCGTGGTAAAATTTTGACGGCAAACTAGACATTAAAATTTTTCGATTTTTTTTTTGCAACACCTGTATTTGAGTTCATCAACAGGTTAGTAAGGTTTACATCGATTACAATACACACCCCCTTCAACTTTGATCATCCTGACAAAAAAAATTACATCTATATCCTCGCTTTCTTTTTTTTTTCTGCATCTATAGATATATGCATTATTCTGCTTAGTTTGCAGACCAGTGATCCACTCATTTGACCTAAACTTGGTCCGAGTGAATTTTAGGGAATATTATTTTCTTCCTTTAGCGTGCATGCTCTTTTATAACATTTTGAATGATTATACATTATATTAACATACTTTTTTTTTGAAGATAACATGAACAACTTTATTCAACAAGACAGAATTTAGGGGATATACCCCAGTACATCGCACAAGGATACAACTTAAGCCAAGAAACCATCTCTAACAAGGTAGAGAGTAACCACTCTAAGGAAGCAAACTTTCTGATGAAACAAAACAACAGTAGGGAATTAGATCGACAGAGTTCTGCGGCAAAGCCACGACGATTGAATCCTTTGGCCTCCATTGACATGCACACCGCTTGACAGACTGGAAGGCTACTACAGCTGTCACCACGGAAACGGCACAGATCAGAGGTTTGTTGTCGAGCCGTAGATTTTGGTGTAGGTATCACCGGACTCAGCAGATTGGTTCCATAGAGTCTTTCATTAGATATGAGGAGCAGAGATTGCTCAACCCGAATGATAGACCCTGCATGGATACTGCTGTTTTGAAGCAAAAGGAAGCAAGATTCAGGAGAACAGGTAGTCCACATGACATGAGAAATCAGATGGTTGCGATAAAACTTCTGTCTTTGTAGAAGGCCGAGGATTGCTGCAGGATTGTAGAACTGAAGCGGACCACAACAAATGAAAAGGAGCAAGCTCCCAACGAAGAAGTAACCTTCAGATTGGAGAAATAAGATGCCACACCCACACAATGTTTTCACCGTTGCAGAAAAGCAGCAGCTCAAGGTATCACCAGCGCACGGAGCAGTAGTACGAAGAGCTCCAAGGCTATCACAAGAAGCAACAGCACCTGGAGTTTGAAGACTACCACACAGAGCAGCAACACTTGGGCTGCCAAGGTTGTCGCTCGGAGCAACATCGCCAGAAATTTCAAGACCGTTGCCACCACACAGAGCACCGGCACCCAGAGATCCAGGGCCGCCACCGCCGCTGTACGAAGCAGCGCCATCCAGAGATCCAAGGCAACCGCCGTCTGCACACGGCGCAGACCAACGAGTTCAGCACCAGCATAAGAAGAAGATTCTGTCCTTCAAGTCGCAGCTCCAACTCCGGCAATCATCACCACCAGCAACCAGGGCTCTTCGCTTGAACGTAACCAAATGAGACATAGCCACAGGAACAGGAAAAACCTGACAAAGAAACTACAACCTAGCTACACTGTACTAATAGGAGAGGTGGCCGGACCCCTCCTCCAACCCTCACCGGCGGTGAACCACCGGAATTTGGGGGGCAAGAGGGGCCGGAGAAGAAGAAGGAGCTACTGTAGCAAAGGGGAAAGTTGGGAGGAGAGGAGATGGGGAAAGTTGACCATCCAACCAGAGCTATTAACATACTTTTAAAATAAGTTAATCGGTAACTGATGTTGACAATATCCTTTTGACAGTAGGTTTCTCTGTTCGACTAGCTTTCGGTGGGGGCCAATTTCTTCCTGATTCACATATGTTCTCATGGTTACCTCTTACACCATTTCTAAGTTGCAATCTACAAAACACATATACTCCATGCCATAGACGAATATATATACTCCATAACATGGATGACAGGTTGAACTGCATGCCTTGGTGAGCACCTCACAAGTCACAACCATGCTCAGCTACTCCCTCCGTCTCAAAAAAAAAAGACAAACCCTGATTTCCGTGTCCAACGTTTGACCGTCCGTCTTATTTGAAAGAATTATGAAAAAATTAAAAAGATAAGTTACGCATAAAATATTAATCATGTTTTATCATCTAACAACAATGAAAATACTACCTATAAAAAAATTTCATATAAAACGGACATTCAAACGTTGGCACGAAAATTCATGGATTGCCTTTTTTTTTAAATGGAGGGAGTACTTGTCATGTGATGTGACTTCATTTTTTCCATAGAACCGTTGACTCCTCTACCCTAATGGGTAATAAAATAAATCACTTTAGTGGCTATAGGTACTTGATTATTAACTCTAATTCAATAAAGTCAACTAAAACATATTTCCTGATTTAATATTAAACAGGACGCGTGATAACCCCAACGGGCCCACAAATTAACTCTTTTGCATTTCAGTCCTTTGATCGTGATTAAGCCCCTACACTACATTTTAATTTGTACTTCTGTCCAAACTTTACAATAAGGACCACGTTATAGGAAAATATATCTCATAATACCCGTTGACCCACTCGGCAACCTAAATAAATGCTACAAACTGCATCTCTTTACTCTGAAAAACAAATATTCATCTCTTTCCTCCTTAACATAGAGATGGTGTCGTCGCTATGAAAGCCCGAATTCGATGGCGTCTCCATAGGAATGTCGTATTCTGTATTCAACACCTATCTTTAGGGAAGCTCAGATTCGAGGTTGTCTTCCTTATGTAATGCGGTTTAGATCGAGGCGGAGTGGGCCAATTAAAGTTGGCCAAAAGGCCCGCAGCCCAACAGCCTGGTCCATGGCACGAAGTTTTGGCCCGGCCTAGGCACGGCCCGACCCGACCGTTGGGCCATGCCTAGACCTCCTTCTCGACAGGACGTGCCAGCCCGGCACGACACGACCAGCGCTCCCGTAGGCCATAGCCCGGAGGTGGCCCACCCAAATAGATGAGGGAGGCAAAATAGACTTATTGTAGCCATATAAGGCACAACCGAAGGAAATGAGGGAGAGAAAAAAGACTTATTTCAGCTATATAACGCGTGACTCAAAGAGATGAGGGAGGCAAAATATACTTATTCCAAGGACAAGCACGATAGGTTGCTTTGGACCGACATGGCACAACCCGAGTTTTATTGGGACGTGCCTGAGCCGTAGGTACAGCCCATGGGCGGGCATGGCACAACACAACTAGTCGTGCCCAGGTGCGGGCCGTGCCGAATGGAGCTACATGGTGACAGGGCTACAATGGCTAAAGGATGAACTTGGGATGGCTTTTCCTGATCGCTAGCAAAGGCGTTTCGCTAACCTTATTTCGGGTGTGTTTAGTTCACATCAAAATTGGAAGTTTGATTGAAATTGGAACGATGTGACGGAAAAGTTTGAAGTTTATATGTGTAGGAAAGTTTTGATGTGATGGAAAAGTTAGAAGTTTGAAGAAAAAGTTGAGAACTAAACCAGGCCTTCTTCTTTTCTCACGACAGGCGTGGAGCTAACTAGTACTCCCTCCGTCGCATAATATAAGGGATTTTGAGTTTTTGCTTGCAACGTTTGACCACTCGTCTTATTCAAAAAATTCTGAAATTATTAATTATTTTATTTGTGACTTACTCTATTATCTACAGTACTTTAAGCACAACTTTTTCGTTTTTTATATTTGCAAAAAAAATTAAATAAGATGAGTGGTCAAACGTTGCAAGAAAAAAAACTAAAAATCGCTTATATTATAGCCTGTGGGACGGAGGGAGTACGTGAACAGAGGCAGCATCGAGGAGACGGGGGATGGTGATGGCCGCCGCCGCCGTAGCTTGGCGCGTTGGGTGCTGACATCAAGATGGAGAGGGCAAACAAGCAGTGCACGTGAGGTGCTTCTCGTAGTACTTGGATTTGCCATATGCTTCCTGGAGCATCGCCATTTCTTGTTGTCCGGCTGCCAGCATCACCCTGGCTTAAGGTCATCCACCCTCCGCTTATACTGCGTCGTAGCACCCCCACTACTCTCTCGCTAACCTCTATCTTTTCTTCCCAAGCTACCGGGCCCTCTGCAGGTAGTGCTAACACCCTACAAGGGCACTCCTTCCCTTCATAGTGGATTCCAAGGCTATGTGGATGTTTGAGCATAGAACTGAGGCCACGCATTGTACATTACAAGGGCACTTCTTTCCTTCACGAGAGTGGTTAGTTGGAAACTCTCTCAAAAGAACTCAGTTCTAATGACCCATTAGGGCCGCTGGGCTTATCCCATTTTTCTTATTTTTGTCTTATTTCAACTAGGGGCGATTCTACATTATGTTTTTTTTTGGGGCCTACGACACCTAATAAAATCTAGAACTTCAATATTACTACCTCCATATTTTAATGTATGACGTCATTGACTTTTTATCTAGTGTTTGATCATTCATTTTATTCAAAAAATTTATATAGTTATCATTTATTTTATTTTGACTTGATTCATCATCAAATGTTCTTTAAGCATGACATAAATATTTTCATATTTGCACAAGAGATTTGAATAAAACGAATGGTCAAATGTTAATTAAAAAGTCAACGGCGTCATACATTAAAATTAAAATACGGAGGGAGTAATTCATAATAATAAGAGTATAAGAATATGATACTAGTACATGTTTTAATAAGTATGCACGGGACACTGGATAATTATTTTTTTAGATTCTCACTGATTTTAACCCCAAAGGGCAAAGGCCCAGACCTAGGGGTGAAAACGGTACGGAAATTTCCGAAAATTCCGGCTACCGTTTCTAGTTTGCACCGACCGTTTCAGTCGGTATTGGTAATTGTCGGTATCGGAAATGGAAACGGTAATCTCTTCCGAAAATGGTAGCGGAAATGATATAGGGTGTTTTCCGACCGTTTTGTCGGTAACCGTTTTTTTATCGGTAATTTCCGTCAAATTTCCGACAAAATTCCGAAGAAGGAAGCCGGCTGGGCCTTGCTAGCAGGAGCAGCCCATTAGGCATTTAGGTCGGAAAGAAAAACCCTAGGGCGTCAGCCGGCGTGTCGCTTCTCCTTCTCATCCTCTCCCTGTCTTATGACTCTCGCGCTATCGCACAGCTCTTCGCCACGCCGCCGCCGCCACAACCACATGTCCATGCCGCCACACCGCCGCTTGCTAGTCCTAGCCGTCGCATCCTCGCGCCTCGCCGCGTCCCTTGCCGGAGAAGCAAGATGGCACCTGCCGGAGGAAAACGCCGCATCCTAGCTTCTGGATCTATCCGACGGCAACAACAGAGAAATGAGCATTGAGTTCGCCACCGTTGCGTTTGCCAGGTCCACTAGGTATAGGCGTATAGCTTGAATGCTTGAGCATGATTTTTTTACATGTACAGATGAATGCCTGAGCCTTAATGTTTTTTAGCACGATTTTCTGTTGATGTGCGAGCGTGATTTTTGCAGATGTACAGCTTAATCCTTGAGCATGTTTTTTTAAGATGTATAGCTTGAGCCTTGTGTTAATCGTTAATCACTTCCTCTTTTTTTAAATCTCAATCTGCTGCATCTGGAAGTGCAAGTGGAAGTCATCATGTGGGTGTGACTGCATCATCATCCTATTGTATGCTATAGCCACATTGATGTTGAAGTATCGTTGAACTTTGTTTATATTGTTTGTCGACCTTATTGTCAACTTATTAATCATCATATAACGGTGTTGTGTGGCAGCGTGATCATGCAAGGGTGAAATTATAAGGTCATCTTCATACATAGTTAAATGTGGGATGATACCACGGTTCGCTGTTTCCGACATGAATTTTCGACTTCCGACCGATAACAGTAGATTCCCGTTCCGATGGTTCCGTTTCCGATATACCGACATTACCGATATCGTTACCGTTTCCGAGTATACCGTTCCGATTCCATTTTCGAAAAAACAAAATAAAAATGGAAATGGTAGAGGGTTTTTCCGACCGTTTCCTAGCGTTTTCATCCCTACCCAGACCTACCACGTGGAAAAATATGAGTGCTTCTAGAAGACAAGAAAACGCCTTTGCTTACCGCAAGCGCAGCAGAACCACGCGACGTCATCGAATGCGTCTCCCACGGGCAGTACGGCCACGGCCACACCCTGCACGAGCCCAACAAAAGCCAGGGCCCTGGGTCTACGTCCATTCGTCAGTCAAGTTAATTATCAGCTGACCGTCCAGAAGGACAATAACAGTGTTGACATATTCAGAATATTCTGAACAAAGTGAAAATACCATGATAATCCATGCTTACAACTCTAGTTTAATTCAATTATAAATTCGCATAATATATAGTTGCCATCACGTTTCTGTTTGTTTCAGCTATGATTTATAAGCCGCATCCAATTTATAATTTAGAATTAATTTATGTGTTTTTCTTGAGAACACCCTACAAATGTAAATACTCATAAAGCATGCAGACTCACCTCTATAAACACATATGCACACTCTACCTACGTCATTACGAGTAGTTGTTGAGATTGATGAAGTCACCATAAACGTCTCGCTTTCAAGGGTATGTCGTCTACCACTAAATAATTAGCAGTAAATGGGAGTACCAGTGTCAAGTCTAAGGGTTGATTTTGGATGGGCTAGTTCCACCACAAATAACCTAAACAATTGAGCTACGCTCATTTCACGTGTGTTTTTTCATTGTTTTTTTTAATATAATTTGGTCTCTAAACCTTTAAACCGGTAATAAGAATAGAAATGTAAAAGCTTTATCCTAAGACTACTTTTCTATTTTTGCAAGTTGCAACGTTTATGTTTGCCATTGGATTATAAGCCGTGGTCCGTGGAAAAGAAGAAGAATCTTCTAAACTTATTTGCCATTTTTCTCACGTCTCTGCTTTTGGACTAGAAGAGTAAAAGCTTCCCTATTCTAGAAGGCATCTCGTTCTCTTCCAAGTTCCCTATATAATGGGCTCCACGTCTCGCTCTCACACCGCACCGACGCATCAGCTACCTTCTACGCATTAACGCAAACATCTGCACGACACGACACAAGCAATGGCGCCGGCGGCGGAGCCGTACGTGGTGGAGGACTGCCGCGGCGCGGTGCAGCTGATGAGCGACGGCACGGTGCGGCGCAGCGCCGAGCCGGCGTTCCACGTCGACCTGCCCGACGACGCCGACGCCGCCGTCGAGTGGAAGGACGTGACGTACGACGCCGAACACGACCTGAACGCGCGGCTGTACCGGCCGCGCCACCTCGGTGCCGCCAACGACGCGCGCGTCCCCGTCGTCGCCTACTTCCACGGCGGCGGCTTCTGCATCGGCTCCGGCCGGTGGCCCAACTTCCACGCCTGGTGCCTCCGCCTCGCCGCGGAGCTCCCCGCCGTCGTGCTGTCGTTCGACTACCGCCTCGCCCCGGAGCACCGCCTCCCCGCCGCGCAGGAGGACGGCGCCACGGCCATGGCGTGGGTGCGCGACAGCGCCGCGCGCGACCCGTGGCTCGCCGACGCCGCCGACTTCTCCCGGGTGTTCGTCGCCGGCGACTCGGCGGGCGGGAACATCACCCACCACATGGCGGTGCGGTTCGGGAAGGCCGGGCTCGGCCCGCAGGTCCGGCTGCGCGGGCACGTTCTCCTCATGCCGGCCATGGCGGGGGAGACGCGGACGCGCGCCGAGCTGGAGTGCCGCCCCGGCGCGTTCCTCACCGCCGAGATGAGCGACAGGTACGCGCGCCTCATCCTGCCGGGCGGCGCGACGAGGGACTACCCGGTGCTGAACCCCGCCGGGCCGGAGGCGCCGGGGCTGGAGGCGGTGGCGATGGCGCCGTCGCTCGTCGTGGCGGCGGAGCACGACATCCTCAGGGACCGGAACGAGCACTACGCGCGGCGGATGAGGGAGGAGTGGGGGAAGGAGGTGGCGTTCGTCGAGTTCGCCGGCGAGCAGCACGGCTTCTTCGAGGTGGATCCGTGGTCGGAGCGCGCCGACGAGCTCGTCCGCCTCATCCGCAGCTTCGTCGTCGAGCACATGGACTCGGAGTAGCAAAGCACTAGCTAGCTACATGATCAAAGATTAGTCAATTATTAAAAGTGATTTAGACTTTTTCTACATAATTGATGAGTTGAGAGCGATTTGTATTTGTTAGGTGTGTTTTGATCTTATCTTAGTTATTATTGATATGTTTCTTGGTAATTTGAGAATGAATCAATAATGGAATGCCACATGGATGGCAATGCTTCTTGATCAAATTTATTCGAGTGAAGACAGAAGAACAATATTTCTTTTTCTTTTAAAGAAAAACTGAGCATCCGGCTTTGTGGAGTGGTAATTGTTTTGTCGGGGCACTAACTAGTGGACTTATACATAAAGTTGTTCAAACATGATTTCACCGAGGCATGTAATTAAACAATAAGGGGATGCCGATTAGGTATTAGCAATGGGTAGTCCTAGGTCGTGCCCCTAGCGATGGCCGTTCGCTTTTCCATCGGCGCCGTCCCGTCCCCCTGCGATGGAACGCGTCCCTCTGCTGGGGGACGCGGCTCTCTCTGGTCCTCGCCAGCTTTTCGTGGGGAGACGCAGCCAGGCGTCGCGTTGAGTGTGTGTGGAGCTCGTGGGCACGGCATCGTCCCCCCAAATTTCTCTTTGCACACTCGCCTCACTCTCGCTCTCCTCTCGGTCTCGTCGCGCCGCGCCTACCACGGTTCCACGCCTTAGAGGGAGAGAGAGAGAAGAGAGAGGCGACGAAGACGACGGATCCGCGACGGCAACAACCGGATCCGGCCACCGCGCGTCGTGGCAGCCGTCGGCCGCCAGCCGGCGACGGGCGGAGAAGGCTTGGCGCGCCCATGCTCGCCGCCGAGGAGCACGAGGACGACGTCGTGGTGGTGGTCGTTGCACTCGGGAACGACGGCGACGCGACCCGGCCACCGCGCGCCTTGCCCGCCACCGCCGGCGCCGCGGGGGGCCAGATCCGCCCACTACGGCGCCGGATTTGGCACCCCCGACTGGCCACGGCGCGAGGCGGAGGATGCCAGGGAGGACGCCGATGGGAGAGAGGGGCGGCGGTGGACGCCGGAAATATTCCTCCATATTTGACGATTTATTGCAAATATCCCTCCCCCCTCCTACTTCATCTTGGTTTGAGATTCCCCCAATTGCTATTACTTGCCCATTTTCATTGCCGCAAACCCCACATGATAACACGACTATGGAGACGTGGTCACCACTCATATCGGCCAGGCATGGTAACATGATTGTGAAATCTCGGCTCAATCGCTCATGATGTTTAGCATTTCCTTGGACGGGTCATAAGTTTTCGCTCTTAGACATCGAGGTTGTTGAAAGATGAACTGTTATGCTTGTCTTATAGGGTTCAGCAGTGGCTTGTTTCTTTAACAGATTTAAAGATGAGCTCGGTATGACACTGTATCCTTGAGAAAAAAAAATGTGTATATCCATCAAGGAATGTGCTAAGTCATATAACACAAGCAAAAAACAGGCAAAAAAAAAAGAACAGCAGCAATTGCTAATTGGGGAGGAACAGCGGCAAACACACAGAAAGAGGTAAATTAGAGGGGGTATTTGCAACAAACATTTTATAGGGGGTAATCTTAAAGGTGACATTTGGAGTGGTTTTTGTAATTTTTCCTAAATAGAATGGCCTGCCACATTCAATTTTCTTGAGTTCCTCTGTTTGTTTAGAAAAACCAGTAGTAGCCTGTCTGAAGCCGGTAGTAATTAGTTGTCGGAACAAACGGCCGGAATACTTTAAAAGTTTATTTAAATTTCAAATTTATAATAATTTTGATAATTTCTCATAGAAGCATTTTGGCAACCGGTAGTCTTCTTGTTCTATGTCATGTAACAAGTTTTTGAAAGAGGTACACATAAATGACCAGTGTGGCATGATCTGATTAGAACATTGAACCCAAAAAAAATCCAAGCAGAAGCAGGCTGGGATTACCTCTTTCTGTGTCATTATCCTTATTTTTTTTAGATAATTGTCATTATCCTTATACTGCCATCGATCGTTGAGAAACTTCCCAAAAAAACACCGGAGCATCAGTTTCCAGAGATGACATAGCAGCATAATACGTGTAATGATAGTATACTACTGAACATAAGGAATTCTTTTTCTATATATAATTTAACTTAACCATTGGTACATGAGGGCAAAGAAGCTTCAAAGAAAAAAAATCGTATAGGAGCTCAAGAAATCATGAAAATTTCCAGTATTAATAGTGATGGCGCCATTGCTCTCTCTCCCTGCCATTCTTTATTTTATTTTTCTTACTAGTACTAGCAAATTAGCTGGCCAAACCAACAAGCCCAACCGAGTCAACACGCTCATGCATCTTTTACTCCGGTGAAATTAACATCTGGAGTCATTTTCATCAGATGATGATGCATTCATGCATACTAGTACTAAGATCTACAACCTACGAAGGATAAATTAAGACATAACATCACGACTTAGGCCGTGTTTAGATTCAAAATTTTTTATTCAAACTTCCAACTTTTCCATTGCATCAAATGTTTGGATATATGCATGGAGCATTAAATGTGGATAAAAAAATCAATTGTACACTTTGCATGTAAATCGCGAGACGAATCTTTTGAGCCTAATTACGCCATGATTTGACAATATGATGCTACAGTAAGCATTTCCTAATGACGGATTAATTAAGCTTAATAAATCCGTCTCGCGGTTTATAGACGAAATCTATAATTTATTTTGTTATTAGTCTACGTTTAATACTTCAAATGTGTGTCCGTATACTTAAAAAAGAAATTTGACACACGAACTAAACATAGCCTTATATAGAGTTATACTATCTCATATTGCATCAATTGCACAGTTTATATATGCATGCAAAGTTGCGAATGCATCTTCTTACTCCAAGTTCTGACGTTATTCAAATACAAGGTACTAGTATGAACTACTCAACATGGGCTACAGAATGTCAAGATGCTCAATACCTGATTTGCCTGATTCAGAATTGATCCTTACCCCCAAAAAAAAAATCAGTGATGCATAAACAACCTTTGTTGCTGATGCTAGAGAGCAAAATAGCCGGCTCTTATTACTGAAACCAGAATACAGGAAACAGCTCGTCTGGCGTGGTAAGCGTAAAGGCATAGCTAAAGACAAATTTCAGTGAGCACAGAACTGAGGACGTACAAAAACAGTACACAAGAGTTCCATGCTGCAAGGGATTATACTCAATTTAAAAATCATCTTCCAATTGCATTACATTCATAAAGGCCATCTCACATTTGTAATCTACTGAAAAGTATATGATAACTTTAGTAGATTTTTATAGCTAATTTAGCTTTGATGATATTGACCATTGTTGGTGCGACACACAGATTGACTACCGCTTGCACTTGGCTTTTGCCATTTTCTTCCTCTTCTTCTTCTCAGCCTTTGGGATCTTATCTTTGCGAGCTTCTCTCTTTTCTGCTTTTACTTTCTTCTTGTTTTCCTTCCGAGCAGCCTTCCTTTCCTCAGGTCCCACCTTCAAAATCTCATGCCATGAACCGTCTTCATCGGAACTAGTGCAAGATTCACTATGTTCCGAGGAGCACTTATTTTGCAGATCCAAAGGTTCTTCTGATTGTACTTGCTGGTTTTTGGTAGGCTCGTTTTTATTCCGCACAAATCCTAGCAATGGTTGGTTGTAAAGCTTATCCGCTGTTGGTTCATTCGCGAAGGATGGGCGTTGCATCAATGACATGTTGACAATATCTGCTTCGCATTGCTTCACATAATCCAGCGTCTATGAAATAGAATTAACAATCAAGCATCAGTAATTCAAACATACGCCATCATACAGCATGCAGCACAAACATTACAAACGAAACAAAATGAACACAACGTAATTACAAAATAGTGTAAGTCATAGATCTAGCAAAGATCACGGCCTATATATACTGTAGAGCAAAAGCATGTAGAACCAACAAAATAAATGTAGAGTTAAATATTGAATTATCCATGATTGATGAGTAACATAATGTTTAGTAAATAGAGATTTTTTGGCAAACTGTGCAAACAATGATATTAACTTATTCATTATCTTACCTGAACCAAGACTGTTGGGGTGATTTCATCGTCGTTTGCAACCATATCTCCATTTTCCAACATCTTTTGCTGAATCTAACATCACAACAAAATTGTTAATCCATCAGACATTCTGCCCATCATAAAGCAACATGATCAGGGCACATCTAGAACTCAGTGGCTATAGAAAGACTGAAAGGTGACATTGAGAAAATACCTTTTCCAGGTAATGATCAACATCTTCATCAGCAATATTTTGATCAATCACAAAATTAAATAGTTCTGTTACTGACATGACAGCAACACCACGTTTTTTAAAGAAGTCCTGCAAATAGCATCACACACATTTGAATATCACAACCTACGAATGTCTATGCAGTGTCAATTCAACTTCTACTCACAGTAACATGCAAGCAATCTTCCTTCAAGAATTCCAACGCTGAAGGATGATCAAGGTCAACGGACTGCGAAACATCAATGATATACAAGTGTCCCTGCACAAGGAGAATAAATGGTGGGAATCAGAGCCATTGATCTGAAAAAAAAAATGATGTTAAAAAATATAATAAACAGAGTTCAACTACCTCGAAATAAAGAATGTTGTATTCACTCAGATCACCATGGACCAGTTTGCATTTTTGGTAGAGTGTCCGCATTGTCGTAATTAACTGAAAAAGAAGTTGCATATGGGAAAACTGAAGGTGTTATACACATAAAAAATACACTAAACAGTTCCCTTACGAAAAAACAATAAGTGCATATTGCAGGAGTACTTATGCTCCCATTGTTCTAGAGGCAACACCTTAATCTGCCGAACTTTTCTGAATACTTGACAGTAAAGATACAATAGTGTCCATGGGCATGAGCAAATGAAGGATATATGCTACTGCTTGGATATCAGGGGAAAAACTATGCAAAAGAGTTTTCATGCATGAACATTATCACCACACATTTTGCATGATAGCACATCAAAATGAAGTGGGCATTTAATTAGGTTCAAACCCAAAAAACAATGCTGAACATGTTGCTAATAGAGACTCTCCTAGATCCACGGCCCTACTACCCACTTAAACCTTTCCAGATTTCTAGGAACTGAGGAAAATACGGCCTTGTCTTCAGCTGTCACATTGCATTCACATTAGTGCGTATTTATTATCTGTAAATAGATACAAACAATCCTTTCTACATGACATTATGATAGGATGTGAAGAATTCAATGTCAATGCGTCATCAGACACAATTGATGACAGCCACTGCGTGTTGTACATGGATACAGCAAGTTTTCTATCCTGGGTAAGAAGCAATGTAATATAGAGCAGATGGATCTATTACAGATTTACAATTAATATGAACTACAATATTATCTTTATCTTCACAAGATACGTCATGTACCTCAAAATAACTTTCACGCAACTTATCATCAGATAAAGCAGCATCCTTGAGACGAGGAGCAGCCCAACCTCCTTTTCCTGAAGGAAAACCAAATCGAATTACAAGATGTACTGAATTATTGATAATTCCATAGAATTGACAAATGTTAACAAGCATCCAAATTTTACCCTTTTTATAGATAGAGAAGTTGACAAGCATCCAATTGACAAATGTTAAAACACAAGTTTTACCTATAAATTCCATCACCAGTACATGAAGCCTCAGGAGCAATGGTTTTGGGCATCGGATTCCAGCTGCTCCAACTCTGAAACAATGGTAACAATAAGCATATGAAATTCAAATAATCAACTATTGTATTTGCATAGGATTGTTCCTGTTGAACAATTGAAAACATTTGGCTAAACCAAAACAGAAATAAGTTTGTCTCTAATTGCATCCCTTTATAACACAAAAAATAATTCAGGCAACAGAAGAATCCCGTTGAAAGAAGAAAATTTACTGAGTAAAGCATGAATGATGCAAAAATGAGAAGAATCTCACCGTAAAAGATTTCTCATTTCCTTTTCAGCCCAGGTCTTCACCATTTTCCGAGGATTATGCTTGCAGTAACCATGTCTAAAGCGGTAATCTCCATGGACATATCGGTCTCTATCCCTGCAAGAAGAGAATAATGTAGTTTGTTCACATGCAAGTTATTTTTAGAACAAGTTGTTTTAGTAAAACTAGAAAACACAGAACATATCCATAATCAACATATCTGCAGTAGCTGTCAAAAAGTACCCTGTTACAAAAGAATACGTAGATAGATCTATGCCTTACTTAAAAACAAGGACAGATGTTTTATAGACTTTGATCGCTAACTCCTGGCCATCAGCCTTTGATGCATGATAGACATTTGCCTGCATAGAGAAAAGAAAATTGCACTTGCAGTCCAGGCCAGATTCTGTATCTTTTGTATACAGCTAAAGTGCTCTATACTATGTATATATTCTCAACATGCTTTCTTATCCACATACGAAAGTAAATTGCAAATAGCAGAAAGCAATGTCAATAAGATATGCAGTTGAACTAAAAAAATACCTCTTTCCCTGTAGAAATGCACCCATTTATGGTATTAAAAACCCCCCGGTTTAACATCTTGAACAGAACCATGCGTGTTCTTGGATCAATAGCCTGCATGTGAACAAACAAAATCCCGTCTAGTTGTCAAAAATCATTTCACAAAAATATCATCAATCATATAAGTCAAAACATGTTATCACTTTTCTAGAAGATCATAACTTTCTCTAGATAGGATACAAGAGATAGATGCTGCAGCTATAACCACTGAAAATTTCATTGAATCATAACCTCAAAAATAAGAAAATCACATGGCTAAGAGAGCATTCTTATGGATATCAAGCACACAAAGATTATAAGTATTAATGGATGACATATAAAGGAGAAATGAAAATATGAGATAATATGCTAGTTAACAACATTATAGCAAATGCACTAGGCATTAAGTCAGTGTTGTTCAAGCTTATATTAAAAACTACTGCCTACCAACCTTGTGAACACAACAGGCCATAAAAAAAATACATCTTAGGAACTTCCTACCAAAGCAGTCAATTGCACTAGAGCGATTTTCTTGAATGATACAGTCCAAATTATTGTCCATGCGGTACAGCTAAACAAGGCATTATATAATATATAACACACGGAGTTGGTGTACACATAATAAGAGCAAACTCGGATGAACAGAGATGGATGCTTTTTTAGTTTGCTATTAAACACAAAAGGGGGCAGAAGTGCAGGCAGCACATAGTAAATTTAAGAAGCACAAGAGTGAAATGGATACAACCTACTAAGAAAATGTGTATACCTGTTCTACTGTAGCACGATCAGCCTTCTCTGTGTTCCTTGTTTTCCCAATTGCCGTCTCCCTTATGCTGTCCCTTATCGCAGTCGTCACTGAATTTGACATCCCCACGTTCATTCTACCTTCCCATTCCTGGACAATTCAAAATTCACCACATTGCATTTCAGCACAACTTCACAAAGTACCACAACACACAGGTGAACAAGCATTCCTCACACTCGCACAACGCGCACACGCACACAGGTAAGCACTCCGATTTGCTACAGGGCTAAGCACCGCAGTTTTTTTTTTACTGCAAAGTTACATGAAATCAAGTTGAACAATACGGGGTTCTAGGATGAATGGATTGTCTAAATTCCAAAACAAAACAATATACTCCAAAATTTATAACGTAATTGCATACACTAATCGCTTGCAAAGTGAAATTACGCAAACATGGGATCATCACATAAGCAGGCCCAGTGAAAAATTGGAGTGTGCAACCAACACAAAGCACGAGGCACCGACTACTACGAGGCGAGAGAGAGAGGAGTTGGAAGCTGCATACCTCCAGGGGTGTGGCGCGGATGTGCGAGGCGAGCTTCTGCGTGCGGTTGGAGATCGGCTGGAACGGGCGGGACAGCACCCCGCCGTGCGCGTTCGGCCTCCGCGCCGCGGCGGCGCCTCCTGCCGCCGTGAAGGCGGCCGCTGGCCGGCCGGAGCCGTCGGGGCCCTCCGCGGCGTCGAGCCAGTCGAGCGCATCGGCCACGTCGGAGTCCGACCACTCCTCTTCATCCTCCTCCTCCTCCACCTCCTCCTGATCCTTACTCTCGGCCACCTCGACTGGCCTCACCGTCGCTTCCTCCTCCTCCTCCTCGTCGGCGTCGGCGAAGCGGCTATCCACCTCGGGAAGGTACACGGCGGCGGCGGCGGCGGCGGTCGCCATGGTTGAAGCAAAACCCTGGAACGGTCGTGGCAACACGCGGGGGATTACGCATATGGGCTTACTACTACTTATCGTGGCCGTATGGTGGGCCCTAATGGGCTACGGCCTTTCTCTTGTGGGCCTTAATATCGGCCCTTCTATATAGATTTTGGGCTTAATTTTTCCAGCCTGTACACATGAGTTACACCGAAAATTCGTGGAAAATAAATTATATCACCGAAATTTTGACGAGTTTCGGAGAAAGTTAGAGAAAGTAACTGGTCTCTTTCTCTTCTGCTATTATATATCACCAGTGGCGGGCCCAGGTTTTTGAACTTGTGTATTCGAAATGAGAAGGGGTAAAAAAAATTGTTCATACACCTAAAAGCCTAAACATATCAAAGTGCCAACATAATAACATATGAAATACAAAAATGAAAGAAAATGATAAATTAGGAAGAAATCTTACAATTTAGAGATTAACTTTTCGACGCTTGATATTTTGAAAATAATCGATGATGTCCTTGTCCTTAGCTTGCAAATTGAATTTTTTTTAATGAAGCCCCATCTTGTTTCTCCAAAAAAGAGTTTAAATCAACAGCTGGCCCTTCTTCGTCTTCATGTTTCAGTTCTGAAAATTAAACAAATTTGATAATATGGTATGAACTATGAACTACCGTCCAGTGTCCACTAGACCACTACAAACTAAGCAAGCAAGTACACTCTCACTAAATCAGTGAATTGCAGCTCCCAATCCTAAAATTTTCACTACATTTATTCAAATTTGTGTACTCACTAAATCAGTGAATTGCAGCTCCCAATCCTAAAATCTTCACTACATTTATTCAAATTTTGTGCATGTACAGATTTAGTCACTCACTGTGTTGTCACTGTTGTGCTGCTCCTGTCCTGCGCGGCTTGCTGTTGCTGTCCTGCTCCTGCTTCTGCGGTCCTGCCCTGCGCGGCTGAGCCGGTCAGCCGGCCAGGCCAGGTGCCGGCAGCCCTCAGTGGCGCAGCCGCCTACCGCCCTGCGCCCGGCGCGGCGCCCCACATCCCACGACCACGAGCACGAGGGCACGAGTCGCGCGGCCGGGCCGGCGCCACAAGCCCCGCCTGCTCGGCGGCGCGCCGCCAGCCGCACGCCTGCGCAACTGTCGGGATGGATGGGGAGGCGAATTAGGGTTAGATGGGAGGGGAATTGGGGATATGTCGAAATGGGCTGAGATGCAAGGTTGACAACGGCCCAATTAGACCGCGGGCTGAGAGGAAAGGGGGAGGGGAGTGGGAAGTTTTGGCCCAATAGAGAAGAAATGGTGAAATAAGGTCCAATATGAGCAGTTTAAGGTTTCTTTTTTAATTTTTTAAATACATATACGAACTATAGAGTATATATACCTATTTTTTGTCCAAAAATCTTGCGTATACATCTGAATACCCTTGAATATACACTGGGCCCGCCCCTGTATATCACCACGTGCCAACTACCAAACATTTTTCATTGAGGAGGAGACCTTTTTCTTTTTTTTTCTCTATCTTAGATTTGTTAATCGTGTTTGAATTACAAAATTGTTTGCTAAGTTTTTTTTTTTTGAGGTAGCTAGCCGGGTACGTCTATACTCTATATGCCGTACGTTATCTCAGCCTGAGTGACAGAGTGAGAGTGGCGATACAGGACAAGACAGTCATACTCTACGAAAATCCGCAAGACAAAAGACAGCGTTTGCTTGGCTCGTATTCTACCACTGAATTGCACCGAGTTTACACATTTGGCCGAATACTAATAAATTCTACCTTTCTTGAAAAATTGAAATTAAACCAAATCAATTTACCACCTTATGTCTGTGGACTGTGGCTGCCGTAAGCCCGTAACGCGACGTGGAAAGCACAAACATAACACAGCTAACATAGCTGCATTAACCATTAACCAATTGATGATTAACTTTTCTTTTTGGTTTAATACGGAGTACACCAAATCATCCAATTTTAGGCTGAGTTTGTTTCTGCAAACTGGGCAAGCAACTCTCTCATATTCTATTAGCATATTTTCCCTAACTGCTAAACATTGTATTTTACATAATAGAATTTCTACATAAAAGTTTTAGAAAACAAAATAATTTTTTTTAAGCTTATAGTAATTAATATTTAATTAATAGTATGTGCTAATGATATAGTAGTATCTCATTTTAGTGCTAGTGAGTGATAGAGTTTAATCTTGTCATTAATTAGAATATATGCATGGTTCTATTTTGTTTACATGTAGTATAGGTCACTGCATATTTAGTTTGGCTCCAGCTCATTGGCGAGATGCCGACGTGCCGTGCGATGCGGTGGTGCGAGAATGGAGCAAACAACGTTCATGAAGACCAAGCTCAACTGCATGTGGAGTGCTGCGAGAAGTAGCCGAATTGCAAGAAAGGCAAGGTCAGTATTAGCCGAGTGAATCGGTCCTAGCTGTGCATGAGATTTAGTTGTTGCTAGTGATTAGCTGCATGTGCTGCGATTAGTGGTAATCATGTAAAGGGATTTCTTGGCAAATAAGTAGGATTAGTTAGTTACTTAGTGCATGGGCATCCCACGTTTGTGTGCATGGCGTGAGTTGTGGCTTAGTGGGTTTGGCCATTGTTATCTCTTTGCATGTACTGAGTCTATATAAACAAGAAAACGATGTGAGCTAGTTGGCTGCGTCAACCAAAAGCTTGAGTGTGTTCTTTCAGTTCTTCTGTGAGTGTGTCCACGAGAAAGAAAATTTGAGTGTTTGTGATTAACACCTAGAGAGTGAGGAGAGATTCCTAACAGTGAGCTCGCACAAATAGTTCTAATCAAATCCAAGCTATCCAAACGGCACATTCCAAAGCTTAACCCGCGTAATTCCATTAGCTTCCCGAGCGCGCGCGCGCGCGTCGACCGGCTTCACCTGCACGCTCCCATGGATCCTATCGCCACCGCCTCTTGGCCGTCGACGTCGGCGTCGTCGTGGCCGCGGTCGGTGAGGCGCCGCGTGCCGGAGGCGGAGGAGGAGAGGGAGCTCGGGCGGCGGGTGGAGGAGATGGAGGAGGCGGTGGAGCGGCTGCGGGCGGAGAAGGAGGCGGCCGAGGCGGAGGAGCGGGACCTCCGCGCCGAGCTGGACGCGGAGCGCGCCGCGGCGGAGACGGCGGCGAGCGAGGCGATGCTGATGATCGAGCGGCTGCAGCGGGAGAAGGCCGCCGCGCTCTTGGAGGCCCGCCACTTCCGCCGCCTCGCCGACGGCCGCGCCGACCGCGACGGGGAGCTCCAGGACGAGCTCGCCTCCCTCTCCGCGCTCGCCGCCTCCTACCTCTCCCTCCTCCACGCCCACGGCATCGACCCCGACGACGACGACGGAAGCAACCAGCAAGAGCAGCTGCAGCCTCCCGTCGAACACCTGGACGCGGAGGCAGACAGGGAGAGCCGCTCGGTGGTTGCGTCGCCGCCTCCGTCGGAGAAGGTGTTCGCGTACGCGGCCGCGACGGCGCCGGCCGCGGATTGCGGCGCCGAGGTGACGGAGAATCTGTACGCGAGGGTGGAGGCGCTCGAGGTGGACTGGTCGGCGATGCGGAGGGAGGTGGCGGCGCTGCGGGCGGAGCGCGCGCAGGCGGTGCTGGCGAGGGAGGTGGCGCGGAGGCTGTGCCGGGAGGCGGCGGTGGCCGGCGAGAGGGGCGCCGTCGCCGTGGCGGCGGAGAGGCCGAGGTTCTCGGTGCTCGCCGTTTGCAAGGTAGAATTTCAGCTCTGTGCATTTGTATTGGATGATCAATCTTGTCTTGCTTAATTAATGTTCTGAACAAAGCACTTCTGGCTCTTAAATGGATAAAACTTGTTCAAATTTTGCCTGATTTCACTGAGCTGTTATTCGCCATGTTGTACACTTTTAAAATGTTGGCCTTAAATCCCTTAAAAAAAATGTTGGCCTTAAATAAAAGTTCCCTTTCATGCTCAAATCAAAATGGTGTTTTAAGTAGTATTGGAGGATAAATGTTATGGGTTTGTAGGAACATTTTGGTTGCAACCGAACACCGTCAAAATACTATTCAAAATGTCAACTGCCAACAATTTATAGGGCACATTTTGGCTTCAAATCAAAATGGTCCTTAATTCTCCTGCCTTGCAATAACTTCGAAATTTTGGTTTCGGCTAGTTGATGTAGGCCGTGTTTAGATTCAAACTTTTTTCTTCAAACTTTCAACTTTTTTCAACTTTTCTATCACATCAAATGTTTAAACACATGTATGGAGCATTAAATGTGGATGACAAAAAAAGCAATTACATAGTTTGCATGTAAATCGCGAGACGAATCTTTTGAGCCTAATTACGTCATGATTTAACAATGTGGTGCTACAGTAAACATTTGCTAATGACGGATTAATTAGGCTTAATAGGTTCGTCTCGCAGTTTACAAACGGAATCTGTAATTTGTTTTGTTATTAGTTTACGTTTAATATTTTAAATGTGTGTCCATAAACTTAAAAAAAATTAGCACACGAACTAAACATAGCCGTAATTATTAAACATGGAGTGGTTAACTGTAGTCGTTATTGTGTCAGCAATTGCATAGTAGACGTGTTGACTGTCAAGATCATTTCCTCGAACCATTTTTGGTTGACTTGTTCCAAAAGGCATAGAGCCTCGCAGGGATTATTCCTGTTGTTTAATCCACTTTGTGTGTCCTCCTAATGCCAAGTCAGAGCTTTTGACATAATCTGAATAGGATCACTAAACAGGATGCTGTGTGCATGTTGGCTAGCATATTTTCTCCAAGATTATTTCATTTTTGTTTGGTGCAATACGTCATGTATTTTCTGAACAAGTCTGTCATAGCGTTACGCAAGTACGGTTCATTTTACAGTGGATTTCGCCTTAAGGCCTTGAATTTCGTTGTTGCTCTGCTAATGTTGAAATGTTCAATATACTTGGTGGATTATTATGCTATGTATTGCTCTGCAAACCAATGGTTTCTGAACTTTTCATTTCACTTCCATGCTACAGCTTTTACAGCTTCGTTAGTTCAAATTATAAATTGATCATTCCAATGAAGGGTGTGTTTAGTTCACGCCAAAATTGAAAGTTTAGCTGAAATTGAAACGATGTGATGAAAAAGTTAAAAGTTTGTGTGCATAGGAAAGTTTTGATGTGGTGGAAAAGTTAGAAGTTTGAAGAAAAATTTTAGAACTAAACTCGGTCTAAGTATCCTGCTATGCTATTCTAAATTCTAGTACTATATATGCAATAGTTCAATGCCACATCCGCTTCCAACCTGAAATTATCACTCGAGAAATGATAAGGAAAATGTTCTTTGCTGCTGTAGTCTTTTCTGCATTAGAAATGTGCTCTTGAATTAAACTTAATTTTCTACTGCCTCCAGAAACCGGCAAGTCTGGCAACATTTACGATTCCATCTCTCTAATAGTAATATCACCCCTTAAATCATTTTCACTTTTACAGTGGATTTCCTTCATAATCTTCAGGAGAAAGAGATGTCATACTGCCAGGTACGTAAGAGGCTTTTATGACTTCTGTTTCGCCTGTTTCTTTGTATACTTCAGGAGAAAGAGTCTGACTGTCAGTAGCAGTGTCGGATGAACATCGTGAGCTTATTATGCAAAGCAAATTTTGTCAAATCTCAGGTTTACGTTCAGCTTGTCGACTACGCTTCTCTGCCTGCTTCTACTCGTCGACAAATCCGTCCCGCTGCATCGACGACGACGGCCACAAATGTGACATGTATTCCTTTAAAAAAAAACATATGTGACATGTACAACTAATACACGACGCAGTTCAAACGACCAAGTTCAGAAATCAGAACATAGCAGTTTTCTCAATTGTAAAGCCAAACTGATGAACTCCTGTAAAATTTGATAACTTTTACGGTGCAATTAACTAGACTGATAAATTATAGCGTAAAAGTTCTCGTACCGTTTCTGTCTTCTAGCCAATAATTTACTGCTACCTCCACTTCATGTTATAAGTTGTTTTACCTTTTTCTAAGTTAATGTTTTTTACTTTGGTAAAATTTTTAAAAATACAATATTTTTTAACATAAAATAAAGAAACTATTAAAATATATTCAATGTTAAATTTAACAAAACTATTTGTGCTATAAATATTACTATTTTTTTATAAAATTGATCAACCTCAAAAGTTTAATTTTTATAAAATTGATTAACCTTAAAGTTTAATTTTAAAAAGTTAAAGTGATTTATAATATAAAATGGATGAAGTAATAATAGGCCTAGTGGCGGAAACAGGGGTAGGGTAGCTAGGGCTACTGCCCTACTCCTAAACCTAAATTTCCACTAAAATTTATATTTTAAAATCTCAAAACATATAAGATGAAGATAAATTATGTAAATTATACTAGTTGACTTGAGCCTTATGTTTAAGAAAATTATCTGAATTAGGCCCGAACATAGACTCGGTGGATTTGAAATGCTAGTACGTTTGTACTTACTACTGTCATAGAAAGATGAGTTAAAACTTGCAAACCCAAAAAAGGATTGAACAGTACTACCCACCAAAATTGGCATTTGGCTCGGATGGCGCCACGTAGCATTTGCAGGCACCTGAAACTGTTCCTACTGTTCGTGCGGCTGTGCCGCGGCGCACCACGACGCGGCGGACATCGTGACACGTGAAGAACGCTCACGCTCACGTAACCAAATACACCAACGCGAAAAGCACGGATCAAACACAACACAGAGCAAATTCCTCGTCGCATTGCGTCAGGACGGGATAGGATGTGGTGGTGGCCGGCGTTCCTGTACCCGCCGCCGGCGCCGGCGTTCGTGGCGGCGGCGTCGGTGGCGCAGTTCGCGTTGCTGGCGAACGCCGGGCTCGGGGAGCTCCGCGGCGAGCACATGGCCTACTCCAAGTTCTGGCAGGTCGTCGCCGGGAAGAAGAAGAACGGCGGCGGCGGCGGCGGCGGCGCGCTGCTGCCCAGCCGGCAGGGGATGCTGGTGGCGTACGTGCCGGCGTTCGTCGCCGCGGCGGCGTCGTTCGCCGTGCCCGGCGCCGTGGTGGGCGTGCGCGCCCAGGTCCTCAGCGCCGCGCTCACCGTCCACTTTCTCAAACGAATTCTCGAGGTAATTCATGGCCTTGCCAGTTGCCACCGGTTTTTGCAATCAACTATGCTCATAGCCTTATAGCGATAGAGTTTACTTGCGTACGTTTATATGGGTGAGTGTGCGTGTGTTATGAGTTTCTACGTTATACTGTGTAATTCTTAGAAAAAAATCCATGGAATGATGAAAATTAAAAGATGATTGTTTAGCCACAATTCTTTTCATCTTTTCTTTAAGGTGGCAATGCACAGTAGCAAAGTTTTTTCGGTCTGCTTTGTATCCCCCATACCCCATAACCACCTCAGCGTGTTATCGATATATGCTACTTTTTTTTCTAATATATTAATGGATAAGGTTTTTACATGTTCACGAGAAAAAAAAAGAACAATTCAAGATCCTTGCTGAATGCTAGTGGAAAATACATTTGATTTAAGAACAAAACTTTAAATGCAAATGAAAACATTTGGCCTGTACACCACCACTAGGTATGCAAAGCTAACGAAATCAAAGCATAAATATGCATTTTTTTATTTTTCTGCAAAATTATATAAGTCCAGTTAGATTGCTCAAATTTTGAAGTTAATAAAACATTGAGGTGTGAAAAAGTGTTGAATTACAGACGGTGGTGTATATCAGTACCAATTTGCTAAATTTGAGTTCATTTTGCTTACTTTTCCAACTCATCTCTCGTTTTCCGTACACAGTTATTTAAACTACTAAACGGTGTTTTTTTTAAATATTTTATATACGAAAGTTGCTTTAAAAATAATATTAATCTATTTTTTAAAAAATCAACTAATATTTAATTAATTATGTGCTAATTAGATGCCCAACACAGGCTTAAATATTCAATGCATTAAATTGTTTTTTAGGTACTGTTCATCCATCAGTACAGTGGAAGCATGCCACTCAACACGGCGGCCACCATCTCCTCCAGCTACCTCGTCATCACCGCCACCATGATCTACGCGCAGCACCTCGCCGCCGGCCTCCCGGACCCGCCGGTCGACCTCCTCTACCCCGGCGTGGCCGCCTTCGCCGTCGGCATCGCCGGCAACTTCTACCACCACTACCTCCTCTCGCAGCTGAGGAACGCAGCCGGCGGCAGCGGCGGCGGCGAGAGGCAGTACAGGATCCCCACCGGCGGCCTCTTCGGGCTCGCCGCCTGCCCGCACTACCTGTTCGAGATCGTCGGCTTCTTCGGCTTCGCCATGATCGCGCAGACGGCGCACGCGCTCGCCGTGGCCTCCGGCACGGTGGCGTACCTCGCCGGGAGGAGCTGCGCCACCAGGAGGTGGTACGAGTCCAAGTTCGAGGATTTCCCTGATAGCATCAAGGCGTTGGTTCCATATATTCTGTAAATCTTTTTCATTTTGATGAAAATTTATGTAAAATGAATAAATACTGTACAAGAAATATCTTAGGCTTTTCGTCGCTTCGTTTTGAATTTAGACTAGCTGTGACTTGTGACTATGCATGCAATGAAACAAATAATTATACGTGAGGACAAATAATTATACGTGAGGAAATAATAAATCCCAACAAAAATGTGGTGAAATTTGATTGTTTTTTATCTGGTTTTTGATGTGCCAAAACATCCAACATCTGATCCGAAATTTTAAACCCTGTGTCAATTGCACTAGAAGAATTTCTATTTCCTTTTGAAATGAAATTAAGCGCGAGAAGACCTGTTAGCCTTGCCCTTAGGTTAAGTCTAGGTCGTTTTCCATTTCAAACAATTTCAGCAGACGATGCGACTTTCTGTCATTAAACATTTTTTTCAAGAGAAAAACAGGGGTAATGGCCCAGTACCATAGATAGATGACAAAGATTGAAATTGACCCTCATGAAACATATAATGTTCCATTGTGCGTACCATAACCGTTCTTCAAAATAATATGGTAATTTAAAATTTTCAGTTGATTGTGATTTCTTAGTTTCCTCAACTATGACTGACTGAATAAGGATTCGATCGGATGTGTCAGATTCATGAATAGTAACTGATGGGTTGGTTTTGAATGTTCGAACATGTTGACCTTTTAAGCTTGATAGTGTCATCTCATAAGCACTGTAATTAAGAGGCATGTCAAGTTGCAGATAATTCAATTGACATGGTCTAGAATCCTGCCTATATGTATTATTGGTCACGGAAATCATGAGATCAATCGACGTCAAAGTTGTCATAGACTGAAGAAGTACGCAAATTAGTTGAGACTTGAGAGGTATAGTATTTTACAAAAATGTAAATTCTCGTTAAGATCTTTCTTCAGAAGTTCAGAGATCATGATTGGGATTCGGGCAGTCAAGGATGAAAATCTACTCTATTTCAAGTTGTGCAGATTAATTTACTAAGTAGGTCATCATTATCTAAAAAAAATTTACTAAGTAGGTCATATGCTTCTTGCAGGGATTAGCTGAAACTTCACTGGATGTTTTAAATTTGTTCTGAATGTTTCTTCAGATATAGCATTTTCTTAGTATCACATGAAAATGGTCAAAAGAACCTTCTTGGATGAGGATAAAATATGAATGTTTTATGAAAAAAATAAAACACCTCCAAATCAAGTCTAGAACACACTTCATAGAACATCCCTGGACTCAGTGAGTTTATTTGACTCTGTCAGACCGTCACACGGCTTAATTAATACATGCCGTGTTAATTTCCTACATTTCCTACCAAATGTATCGAGGTTGACATGAGCAGGATGGACAGTAGAAAGCTTGCTTGGACCTTGTCATGTCCGAGTGAATAATTGGCATTTGGTAAAATTAGTCATTGTCATGAGTCGTTTGCAGTCAGGTGAAGAAATCTACTCTTGATAGCGTGTTATCGTCTTAATTATCTGATGCTGACAAGTTGAAATGTTGTTTTGCCTGATCAAGTACCATGAATGAATGACTCTGCAAATGCAGTCTTATCATGTGTTCACGAGAAGAGAACATGCTTTTGTAAACCAGTTCACAGATGAATTTTCACACCTTCAGTCCAAATCGACCTATAAATTGATAGAGAAATATAAAAACAGAGTACGCTGTGAATTCTCAGATATTATTAGAGGGATCTGTTCTTTTTATTTTGACATGTATAGATTGAATTCATCTTAACTACGCAGTAATTTATTTTCGGTTTGTTTAACACAAATTTGTTTTCAGGATTTGCTTTCAGAATTGTGCATGATCATTTAATTTAGATGGCGTTCAAAAGACGGTGATACATGCCCTGGTGTAAAATGAATTTCCCTGATCTCAAGTTCAGATAATGCCTGGAGCTTAATTTTCAGAAAGAAAAAGAAGAGGAAGTTCATAATCTTTCAGTAGAAGAAGCAGTTGAAGATCTGCAAAGTAAAATGCAAGTGCTTTTTCACATGGAATTTGCCTTAGTTATCCAACGTGCAAAAAGCAACCATACTTCCAAAAGATCCAACAATGGCTAGACAATTTGTAATCAAACCTATGTAAATATTAGATTTATATTTATAAATATATATACACGCTGTAGAATCCTTTTCTACAGTTTTTAACTTCAAAACAAGAGAGGAAGTTCAGATAATGCAAAGTGAGAAGGCTGATGTATATTGGTTAAATAAAATCAACAAATTAATTGCACTTAATGTGTTAACTATTAAAATGATCAAGAAATGTACAGTGCCGAATAACAAAAGTAAAATAACATCCGAAGGAGCAATATAAACTGAAACAAGCTACACACATACTACAGAAGTACAGATCGGTTAGCACTTCGAGTGCGACTGTTCGTGCTAAATTTTCCCCTAATCGAGAAAAATTTTGCACGAACACTGTATGATCTGATACAAACATTGATTAGAAATTTAGAACTCTAAGACATAATTAGAACAAAACGCCCAGCTCTTGCAAGGCCTGCATCGTGGTCGGCGAGAAGAAGAGGCTACTCGGCGACAGAAGAGAAGCAGCCGCCGGAGATGGAAGAAGAAATGGATGCGCCGAATGGTCGTCGTCGTCGTCGTCGTTGTCGTCAATCGCCGGCGGAGCAGGCTGACGCTGCTGCCCAAGCGCGAGCACCAGTGGGTCGGCGGCGGCGGCGGCCCTGCCTCCGGCCACCAGGTCCGGCAATGTCGCGGTTGGATCCGACGGCGCCGTCGCCGTCGCCGTCGACGGCTTGCCGGTGAGCTTCTGCACGATGGCCCTGAACTCCTCCGGCTGCGCGTGGACGACCCTGGGCGTGAGCTCGTACACGATCACCGGTCCCATGTCGCCGCCGCCGGCGACGACACGGGGTTTCTTGGTCGGCCGACTCGCCTCCGCCGCCGCCGGCGACACGATCAGCGACTGCGGCCGCGGGCCCTGGATGCTACCGCCGCCTGGCCTCTTCGCCTTCGACGGCGACGACGACGACGACGACATGGCTCGCTCTCGCTGCAGTGGCCGCGACGTTTGTTCTCGTCAGAAGTTGCTGCTGCTGCTGCTGCTAGAAAACAACACCCGCGAATGCTTATATAATGGCGCCAAGCAAAAAAAGATGACGTCAAAAGCGCGCGAAATGGTCAGACAGAGTTTTTTATGTGATTAAATTGAATATTGCTCCAAGCAGCCTGCAGCGTATTTAACTAAACTATGCAGACCAAATCATTATACACACCTAATCATGCACCTTAACACAAAGATCCGTCATTAGATATGGTTGGTGTTAGTTTAATGATAATCTAATTACTTGTTAATTAGTAGCCGCATACTTCCTGGACAGTGCAAAATGCTGTCGACAGTGCACTAGACGGTCCCAAATATATATACTTCTCTGACAGCTGCACGCGGGTGCTTCGTTTCAGGTGGTCAGGAACTCAGATTGATCATCAGCAGCTGCATCTGCATCCAGTGCATATGAACTTAATTAGCTTGCTTGTTTAACATGAGGTTCAAAATGAGACGCTTGATTAAAATTAACCAGAGCGATTAATCAGAGAGAGAGAGAGAGAGAGAGAGAGAGAGAGAGAGAGAGAGAGAGAGCGACTGAGCGAGCTTTGCGTAGCGGATGATGCACGCACGAACGTAGTGCATAATGGCCGCCTGGCCGGCCGGATCGAAGGAGGCAGACAGTAGCTTAATTAAGGTACTAGTAGTTATATTTGACTATGCTAATTAATTCCCATGCAAATCTATCTATCTATCCATCCATCCATATAGGCAGGAGTCCTTAAAAAATCTATCCAAGCAGGTCAAACAACGCACCACTGGTAGAGAAACCATCTTTCGTTGGTCGGCCTAATTCCACAATAGTCCCGGTTGCAACAAAAACCGGGACTAAAGATGATATTTAGTCCCGGTTAAAAAGGGTAACGGGCATATTTAACACCAATCGGGACTAAAGATCATCTTTTATCCCGGTTTAAATGCTGTCAGGGCTTGTCAAGGCCCCCCCCGGGATCTTTAGTCCCGGTTGGTGGAGATCGTACTTTAGTCCCGGTTGGTGTTACCAACCGGGGCTAAAGATCCCGGTGATCTTTAGCCCCGGTTCATAACACCAACCGGGACTAAAGTCCCACCCCTATATATATATATATATATATATATATATGTCTTTTTCCTCCTCCAGCCCGAGCAAGCTTCAAAATTTCTTCAAAAAAGAGGGGAGGTCATGCCAAAATTTCTAGTGAATTTATTTTGGTGATTATATACAAATCGGAGGTGCCTAAAAGGTTAGCAACTTCATCCTCCAATGTTTTTTTTGTCATATTACATTTGGAGCTATGTTTTGCACACTTTTTTGTCTCCAAAATTTTGTTGTAAGTTGATGAGAGAGAAAATTTGTGTGGGGAAGAAAGAATATATAGAAATTTAGTTTATTTGCTAAAAAAGGTTTTATAAAATAGTTGAGAAGGAAAATATAGTGAAAGTTAATCTTGAATAATAGAAAACAAACTAAAATGAAAATTAAAAGAAGTACAACACATTAATATTAGTTTAAAACTTTAGAAATAGTAAATAAGAATTATTTGGTGCAATATTTCATAATTTTTGTATGAATAATGATATGTCACTATTGTGTGACTGTTGAAAGAGTTTGTAATTATTTTATAATTATTGTATGAATAATGATATGTCACTATTGTGTGACTGTTGAAAGAGTTTGTAATTATTTTATAATTATTGTATGACTGTCATTATTGTACGAATAATTATTTGTGTACGATTTTTTTTCATGTCATGTAGATGGATCGGCAATGGATGTACGCTGACCGGCGGTCCAAAGAGTTTATTGACAGCATGCATTATTTTTTGAGAGTGGCCGAAGCTAACAGGCAAAAGGGTTTTATTTGTTGTCCATGCAATAAGTGTAAGAATCAGAAGGAGTATTCTGCATCCAGGACTATTCATTTCCACTTGTTTGAGTCGGGGTTTATGCCAAGCTATAATTGTTGGACATCCCACGGAGAGCAAGGTGTTGAAATGGAAGAAAATGAAGTGGAAGACGACAATATTCTGGACTTTGCTCAGTACGCTAGATTTGAAAGAAATCAAACGGGCGAGGAGGAAAGGGATGCTGATGGTAACGACGTTGTGGATGATCTTGGTCAGATGTTGCAGGACGCCAAGGAGGACTGCGAAAGTGAAAAGGGGGCCCATAATTTGGACAAGATGTTAGAGGACCACAGAACATCGTTGTACCCAGGTTGCGAGCAGGGGCACAAAAAGTTGGATACCACTCTGGAATTCTTGCAATGGAAGGCAAAAAATGGTGTTAGTGAGAAGGCATTTGGCGATTTATTGAAACTCATCGAGAACATTCTTCCGGAGGGAAACAAATTGCCCGAGACAACGTACGAGGCTAAGAAGATAGTCTGCCCTCTAGGACTGGAAGTTTAGAAGATTCATGCATGTCCGAATGATTGTATCCTATATCGCGGTGAGGAGTACGAGAACCTAGAAGCATGCCCTGTTTGCAAAGCACTACGATACAAGATTAGACGAGATGATCCAGGAGAAGTTGACGGGCAGCTAACGAAGAAGAGAATTCCTGCTAAGGTGATGTGGTATTTCCCTATATTACCACGGCTAAGGCGTTTGTTCAGGAACAAGGGGAATGCTAGAATGATGCGATGGCACGCTGAAGAGCGTCAACAGGACGGGATGCTGAGACACCCCGCCGATGGTTCGCAGTGGCGAAACATCGACAGAAAATTTAAAGACATTGGAAAGAACGCACGAAACATACGGTTTGGTTTAAGTACGGATGGCATGAATCCTTTTGGAGAGATGAGCAGCGGCCATAGCACTTGGCCCGTTACGATGTGTATCTACAACCTCCCCCCTCGGCTATGCATGAAGAGGAAGTACATAATGATACCGATTATTATTCAAGGCCCCAAGCAACCTGGTAACGACATCGATGTGTACCGAAGACCACTGGTCGAAGATCTTAAACTGTTGTGGAAGAAGAAAGGTGTCCCCGTGTGGGACGAGGACAAACAGGAGGAGTTTAACCTACAAGTGCTACTGTTCGTAACCATCAACGATTGGCCTGCACTTAGCAACCTATCCGGGCAGTCCAACAAGGGGTACAAGGCTTGCACTCACTGTATGGATGAAACAGAAAGTACGTATCTTAAGCACTGTAGGAAGGTTGTGTACATGGGTCATCGTCGATTCCTTGCAGCAAACCACTCGGTACAGAAGAAAGGCAAGCACTTTGAACATAAGGTGGACCACTGTACAAAGCCTAAACATCGCAGCGGGAAAACAGTGTTTGTATGGTTAAAGATCTTAAAGTAGTGTTTGAAAGGGGCCTGGCAGCCAGCCTATAGAGAGCGAAGATGGTCACGCGGCGATGTGGAAAAAGAACTCTATATTTTGGGAGTTACTCTATTGGGAATTCTTGGACGTCCGCCACGCAATCGACGTGATGTACCTCACTAAGAACCTTTGCGTAAACCTTTTTGGCTTCCTAGGTGTATATGGAAAGTTGAAAGATACACTGGAAGCACGTAATGATCTAAAGCATATGGAACAACGCGGTGACCTTCACCCGGAACCAAAGGAGAAAGGAAGCCATTACTTGAGTCCAGCCAGCTACACTCTTAGCAAGGCAGAGAAGGAAAGTATGTTTGAATGCTTGTAAAGCATCAAGGTACCGTCTAGATACTCCACGAATATAAAGCGAATAATAAGCATGAAGGAGAAAAAGTTCACAAATCTAAAGTCTCATGACTGTCACGTGTTGATGACACAGCTGCTACCAATTGTAAAAAGGGGTATCCTCCCAAACAATGTCCGGGCAACAATAACAAAGCTATGTGCTTTCATGAACGCAATTTCGCAGAAGGTCATCGATCCGAATAGATTAGAAGCCCTGCAGAATGATGTGGTGCAATGTCTTGTCAGTTTTGAGTTGATATTTCCACCTTCATTTTTCAATATAATGACGCATCTGCTTTGTCACCTTGTCAAAGAGATCGGTATTCTCGATCCTGTGTACCAACACAACATGTTTCCTTTCGAGAGGTACATGGGCGTTCTGAAGAAGTATGTTCGTAACCGTGCTCGTCCAGAGGCAAGCATCGCCAAGGGGTATGGAACAGAGGAGGTCATTGAATTCTGCGTAGAATTTATTGAAGACCTTCACCCAATCGGGGTACCTGAATCATGCCATGAAGGGAGACTACGGGGAAAGGGGACTCTCGGAAGGAAAGCAATAATGACGGTAGACAACAATTTATTCCGTAAAGCCCATTTCACGGTTCTGCAACAATCTTCATTCCTTTCTTGAGATCCCATATTTTAGGAGTTAATTTTTAACTAACCGTTAGCGTTCATAACTGATTGCGCTATGTCATGTATAGTATTATCTTAAGTTAAATATTAACTTTGCTCCCGTTGGCTCATGGGAAGCGATGCCGTCGGTTTAGAGTCAAAGATTAACTCTAAATGGTTAGCGATGTCATTTTTTTTGGAGCGCACAAACCGTCAATGGTGAGTTAACTTTTGACTATTATAGCATGATGTTGAAAGATAGTAGTTAAATTTTAGCCTGTTGTACATCATGCAACAAAGTATATAATCGCTGAACAAAGATTCTTGCGCGGGGTAGGTGAGCACTATGAACACTATTAGCATGCTAGTTCATAGCAAAAATATGTATTGTGTCATTACATGGCTGTAACTGGTAATATTTTTAAAAGACATAATGGACAAGTACTAGCATTCAAAACACACATTGTGTTGCAGAGTTTGCCATTTAGGAAGAACAAGCATTAGGATGGAGGGTTGATCACTGGTGAGCTGCTGAACTGGGAGATCTCGGGATGGTGCTGAGTGATTAAGTTGTGCTCGCTGAATACCATATGATGAAGGATGCTTGAGCGGAGAATCGTTGAGTCGCTCTGTGGGAAAAACAAGGATAATGTTAATGC